GATTTTCCTTGGCCTTTTGGACCTGTAAGTGAATGATTCTTTTCTCTATTGTCGATTAATGGAATTACAAGTTTATACAGTTTCCTGATTTATGCGATACACTGTTCTTGTTTTCGAATTGGTGTTTACAAATGTAGATTATAGATGTTTTTGCATTCATCTTGATTGCACCTTTTTTTGTAATGGTTTTTCAGGTTTTGAAACAACGAGCTCAATAATCGATACTAATTCTCCCAGGAGACCTATCATGGTATCTGCATTAGACCTTTCTCTTTGTATCAGCTGCTAGGTGGTGTGTTTACTTTGTTTAACAATTTAATAGGGTGATTTAAAATCTTTTAAAATGTTCCCATAAGGTTGTGTTAAGTATTTTGTGCAATGAAAGTTGAATTAATCTTCTTAGAGAGTGTGCGAGGCTGCTGCTTTGATCCTAACAAGTAGCGACAAGTATTTTACAGACTTAGAATTTGGGTACACAAATGGTACGTTGAGTTGATGCATGAGGTATCTGAAGGGCATCCCATCTGAATTAGGAGATTGAATGTTTGATCATCTGGTGTTTGATAAATATTAGGTGAAGTGGAGGTGACAAGTTCTTAGGAGTACTAAGAAGGATAAAACCCTAATCCAAGAGTTTTGACTGAAAGAAAGAATTAGGGACTGCTGTAAAAGTTAAAAGGCGCACCATAAATGTTAAAGCTTCGAGAAGTAGTGAATCTATTTCGATAACAAATGATCTCTAAATGCTTTTGCAAGCTTTCCTTTTTCCGTTCATGATATAATATGAAATCTGCATTTGTTTTTCTGAAACTGTTGTGAGTGTTATCTTAGTAGAATCTTTTGATTCGTGTTGAATGCAGCAGAACATCCTTGTGAAGTTTTGAGGCCTCAAGGTTCTCCCTACATTATAGGACATCAGATTCTTGGTATGCACTCCACGTCAATTTTATTCTTTAACTTGAAATATGAGAAAAAAGGGAATTAAAATTTTATTTTGGAAGTGACTGTTGTTTTTTTATGTACTCTATCTCACTCTCCCTTTCTTGGGAAATTATAATATTTTACAGGGTTGTCAATTTGCTATGTCGTCTTCTTCGTAATGGAAGCAGAGAACATCGGTATCCCAGTGATCCTACGAGGCCTGGACCTTCTTGGTGAAAAGGCCAGAAAGAATTCGATCCCACAGGAAGCGGAGTCCAATGGTGGTGATGTTGGCAGTGATATCAGAAGGGATTCTGTCACGGAGATCCCACTGGAAATGGATCCCAAGGGTGGTGATGTCAGGGGTAACTCTGATCCAGGGGTTTCACAGGACATAGAGCCCAATGGCGGGGATAGCAGAAGGAGCTCTATCCCAGTGATCCCACAGGAGATGGATCCCAAGGGTGGTGATGTCGGAGGTAATCCGGTCATGGGGATTCCACAGGACATAGAGCCCAATAGAGGTGACATCAGAAGGAGCTCTATCGGAAATCTTGATCCTCCTTCTACCGAGAGGAACTCTATCCCAGTGGTCCTGCAGGACATGGATCTCAGTGATGATGATAAGAACTTCTTTGCAGCTGTCCCACAGGATATAGAACCCGATGGCAGTGATATCAAACAGAAATCTATCCTAGCAATCCCACAGAAAATGGAGCACGAGGGTGGTGATATCGGAAGGAAGCCTATCCTAGTGAGGCCACAGGAAATAGAGTCTAATGCCGGTGATATCAGAAGAAACTCCATAGAGAAAGTAGATCCTCCTGCTGATATCAAAAGGAACTCTATCCCAGTGATCCCACAGGAAATAAAGCCTAATGCTGGCGATGTTAGAAGGAACTCTATTGGTGTGATCCCACAGGAATTAGAGCACAGTGGCAGTGGTATCAGAAGGAACTCTATGCCAGAGGTCCCACAGAAAATGGAACCAAAGGCTGGCGATACCAGCAGGAACTCTGTTCTCTGGATCCCGCATGAAGTGGAACCAAAGGGTGGTAGATGGATTCAGTCCCGATATCTTAGAGCTCCAATAAGTTCCTGCCATGATTATTGCAAATATGGAGTGAGAAATGCCTCTGAAGAAAATGCAACTGCTGCACTGCGAAAATCAGCTACAGAGAGGAAACGGATATCCACAACCAGTCAAAAGCCTTCTCCAGATTCAGACACCCAGAAGCTTGACAGTTCTGTCGTCACAGAGAAAAAAGTATTGTCATTGACAAATAAAGAAATTGTTTCTGCAGAAAAAGTTCCATCTTCTTCCAAGGACATTGATGTTTCTACGGAAGATTCCGCCGGTTTGAAGGTGAAACGTGTGCAATCAGAGCCATCTTCTCTCCCTGAAGCGGCCTTAAGCCTTAGAAATTCAAAGGTGATATCCACAACTGGACCGAGGTCTGTTCCACCTTCCCAAACCCGGAAACTTAATAATTATGTTGTCACGGAGAAAATAGTTTCATCGTCGACGAAAGAAACTTCTTCAAAGAAAGTTTCATCTCCCAAGGAAATAGCTGTTTGTATGGAAGAGTTGATTGATTCGAAGATGAAGGATAAGCAATTAGATCAATCTTCTCTCCCAGGATCAGACCCAAGCTTGAGAAATTCGGAGGTTACATCAACAATCAATCCTAACCCTTCTCCAGATTCTGAGTCCCAGAGTTCTACTGCCACGGAGAAAAGAGTTTCACCTCCCTATAAGGATATAGATGTTTCTGCTGAAGATTCCACTGATTCAAAGGTGATATCAACAGTCAGTCCTAATCCTTCTCCAGATTCTGAAGCACAGGAACTTAATCATTCTGGTGGCACGGACAAAAGAGTTTTATCATCGAAAAGGAAAGAAAATGTCTCTTCAAAAACAGTTTTGACTCCCATTAAGGAGATTGATGTTTCTACGGAAGGTGATGCCGCCTGTTCAAAGGTGAAGCCTGAGCAACTAGAGCCATCTTCTCGCACAGGACAAGGTTCAAGTAATCAAGGAAAGAGTGGAACTAGAAAGGGCAAGGAAATACAAGAAGGTTCGGGCAGTAGTGTAAATAGAAAAATCAGAAGCAAGCTGCGAAGGACTCCTGTATTGGTTGAGAAAAAGATGTTAGAGCCTAAAACTGTTTGTTTGACTTCCAAACACCCTGTCAAGAGAGTCTCCTATGCAAATGCTGGAAGCTCTAAGAACCTTAAAGGGCTGTCCCATATGAAAGATCAAAAGTGTCCCCGAAAAGTTGAACCTGAGGGAACCTGCAATAAGGATGTTCCGGAAAAGATTTTGTATGTCGTCGAATCTAATACTGGGAATAGTACTGTCAAACCAACTCCAAATGGTGCTGATGCCCCTGAGTTATCATCATCATCACATCTATCGTCTGATGTCAAAAGCTCGAGGCAAGCAAGGAAGGGAGTTGGTACCACTCGATCACCTACATCCTCTAAGAAGAAAAACTTCAAACGCACTGTAAATGGAGGTTATGGTCGTTCACCTACTGCTCCACCCCCTGAAAACAAAGGTTTGAGGCGGAGTACTCAAAGACCTTTATCTTCATCGTTGTCGTCATCATCATCATCATCCGCATCCGCATCCCCAGCCCAGTCCACTCATAAAAGAGAAAATGGCGCCACCTCTCAACGCAGAGCAATGAAAACTGGTAATCAAAGAGAAAATTTGAAGGTGGAGAAGAGTACTAGGCCTCGAAAGTCTGAGACACATCGCTCTGAAAGTAAAAATAGCTCAGCCCGAAAGCTGACATTTAAGAGAGGAAGGGTGCTTGACATAAAGCCTGAGATCAGTACTACAAGGAGACTCAAATTCAGGCGAGTAAGATTGGCAGGGGAGATCCAAAATGGTAAAGGTGGTGTCACAGTTGGGAGCGCCGGGAGGAAAGAAGTTTGTGACAACCATTCAGTTGGTGATGTATTAAAACAGTTAAGCCCCGGGAGGAAAGTAGCTGATCACAGTCACTCAAATGGTGCTTTCATCAAAAGGCATAGCCCCGGAACAAAAGAAGCTGATGGCAGCCAGTCAAATGGTGGTAAATTCAAAAGTGAGAAAGTTGTTCTGAGAAGCTTCGAACGAGATGTGGAAGGTTCACGAAGGAAGAGCTTGAGGAGGAAAACGGCTAGTGATAGCGGGTTGAATGGTAGTACTAGAACGGAACCTGAGAGGGTTGTGTTGAGACATCAAGATGTGAAAGGAAGGAAGGATGTGCAGAAGTTGTTAAATAATGTGATCGAAGAGACTGCCAGTAGGCTTGTTGTGTCCAGGAAGAGTAAAGTCAAGGCCTTGGTTGGTGCTTTTGAGACCGTGATTTCGCGTCAGGATACCAAATCCATGGCTTCGGAAACAGACACGGAAGATGCAGTCTGATATACCAAATACATATAGCTATGATTTATGTACATATTTGAGAAGAAACATACAAAAAACGAAAGAAAAAAGACATGAATGCAGTTGATTGGAGGTCGCGTGGGATTGAAGTTGTGCAAGTTTGTGAAGTTGCGGAGGCATAAATGAAGAGAAAACCGAATCAAGGTGAGAAGGCTCTCTGAGAATGTGAAACATTTTTCTTGTGTGTACTGCTATACCGATTGATTTGCTGAAGGAGTTGTGTATTATGGCTATTATTTTTCTGTTGTACATTTCTGCCCCGTGCGTGTTGTTGATTTATTAGTTACTGCTTATCAAAAATTACGTATTTAAGCTTGCAAAGAACACTCAGGAACCATGGCGTGCTTGCCATTCCGACCAGCACCGCCCATGGCGGTCCGGTGTTCAAGAGTTGGAAACTAATGTGTCCCCATAGATGGTTATGTCGTTGTCGCGTGACATGATGAGAATGTCGGTAACATGAAAACGTACGTTGATATCTTGAGACCAAATTAATTGTTATGGTTCAAAACTCACATCAGAAAATGTTGTGTGGGGCAAAAATTCTTGTGGTTTTAACAGAGTCATGCATCCATTTTCCAGGATATTGTGATGTTGACTTTCGATCTATCCGGATTCAAAATTATGTAAGAAGAAATAATTTACAAGACTTAATTGATAAGTCCATCATACAAGATCATTAGTAATTAAGAGAGATAACGTTTGAATTAGTCACATTTTACAAGGGCTAGCTCGTACTATTAGTATTTCTCTTATCACGTGAACTATAATATCCGGGAGCTAGGTGGGTCCTTACTAGTTCCTTCGAACCTGGCTTGACTGTGACGGGCTGCTTGACGCTGCTGTCGCCGGAGTGACTTGTAGGCGATAGAGAGCTGCCATCCTGTTGAACAGGTCCATATTCATTGATTGCTGCAAATCCATTCATTCAAATTAGTTCAACAAGTAAAAAATAAAAGATTAATGACCGTACAGAAATGCTTTTCTATAAAGCACATATGCTTGCTTTTATTATAATAAAAATTCAAGTGCTGAGTGAGAAGTCACTCAAAGTGATTTTAGAAGCACATAGCAGACGCTCTTCCATAGAAGCACTTCCAAGCATTTTGTTATAAATACTTTAGGTTATCTGAAAATAGTTTTAGCTATAGAAGTACTTCCAAACATGAGCTTCTTGCTATCATTTCCTCACACGTTTATGTGAATACATGCACGTACCTGTGCTAGGAGGGAACAATATGGATCAGGTAGAGGGTCTGAACCATCGTTAGTGCCGGTTGGTTCAGGCTTTGCTTGAGGAGGAGGGTGCGGTGGCATCAACGGTGGCATCATAAAGGGCGGCATGAAAGAAGGAGGAGCGGCAGCCACAACCGGTGTAGGATGAATGCGCGTTCCTGTTCCCGTTCCCATTCCCATATGAGCGAGGAGTGACATTTGATGAAGATGTTGCTGCTGAATTTCTAAAGGCATCATCATATTCATGTTCATATGGCCATTAGGCATGAAATTTCTCATACTATGCATCATTTGGACTTGAGCTTGAAGTTGTTGCAAGTATTTGATCACCTCATCAAGCATTGAAGCTTTATTAGTCTGTAATTAATCACATTACAATTCAAAAAATAATGTTGTCACCAAATTAAATTAATTAGTGATGATCATAATTAAGCACTCAGCAAATTTTCTCACCTTACTTGCATTTGGCACCAACCTTTGCAGAGCTTTCATCTTCTGGTTAATCCGGTCTCTTCGTTTCTACACGGATTTAGTCTCAATTAGGGAAGTGATTCTCGCACACGAATTATTAGACGATAGGGATTCTTTTCCTTTTGGGGTGACCAAAATTAAATTGTTACCCGCTCTGATTGATTATGAACAGCAGCAGCTCGCCTTGGTCTTGTTGAGTGTGAACGGCTTGGTTTTCCACCTTTGGTGGTTTCCCGGCCATCATCTCGGTTTTTCTGCTAGATGTGAGATACAAGTTGCGAGAGATATGATGAGTATATGTGATACATGTAGCACGACACTCAAAGAATATATATGTACATGCATCTTACCAGTCCTCCGTGACAGGCCGAATCCTCTTCGATGCTTTTGGTCTTCAAACTGGGAGGAGACTCAAAAGAAACCAATGTGGACATAGTTGTATCATTGTCCCTGCACAATCTAACACTACTGGGATCTGCATGTTCTTCATGAATGCTATTAGTCTTACTACTAAAATTATTCTCAAAGAAGCCGGAATCTGACTGAGTGTGTTTTCTTATCCACCCCTGTGCCGGCGGTACTTGGACAGAGCTGTCAGTCCATGTTCCGCCGGAGGATGCAACCATTGAGCTTATGTTGGCCGGTGTCTGGTCATGGCGGATGATATTTGGGTCACGTTTGTGGCATGTAGCTTGATCGACAATTGATTCTAATGTGTCACAAGCCATGCTCCTACCCCATGCGGGCTTTGATTGGGATGTGGGAGGAAGCCCACCAAGCCCATGCATGGCCAACTGGCTATTTTCCAATTTTAGCTCTATGACGTCATAATTAGACCTGTATATGTGTTAATCAGCAAGCAAATCCTAATAATAAGATGAAATATTTTGATTAAAAACAAAAGAATATTTAATAATGTCTAAACATAAGTTAATTGACCAAAAATTCAATGTTTGAGACTAAAATAAGTTATCAAATCAAGGTAAGCTTTGTTGGTGGGAAGGAAGACCGAATAAATTAATTGAATATATGCATGATCATTTGATCTAGCAATATTCATTCTTTATTTTGTTAGATGAGCTTCAAAATTAAAATCTCATGAACGATAATTGATATGAAAAAGAAAGATTAATTATAGCTTCCAACTCAAAGATTTTAAGTGCACCGAGATTTTAGTCAAGGGATAGAGCAACAAAAAAGCATATAAACTATTCTAAAATCTAGTGGTGTAAATGGCATTGAACAAGAATAAAAACACCAAACTTGGGTTTTTTTTTTGTCAAAAAACTTGGGTTAATTATACCTACACAATTACGCATTAATTAAATATTTTTTTTTTAAAAGTCCATATAAAAAAGCAGAAATTAAGAGAAAATTGCATTAATAATTAACAAAAAATTCAAAGGTTTATGAAAAAAATATGAACGGTGGTGCTTACAAAGGGACAAGAAGACTGGCGTTGGGTTGGTTCTGCTGTTGCATGATGCATGCACACGTGAGGAGGATATCTGCACTTTCTCTCTTCTCCTTCGACTTGTTCTTTTCTTGGCCTTTCCTTCGAATATAGTAATAGTATTCCTAATTAGAACTCTACACTACTACTCTATATAGTTCTCTCTCTCTCTCTCTCTCTCTCGATCGAAAAATGAATGAGTTGGAGATGTGAGTTTGGACTCTTTCTATTATTTCGTTGTCTTTCTGGTCCTTTTTTTGTGTCAAACTCACATTGCTGTGATGGAGATATTACACAAAACATGTGGTAGCTAAAAGAAGAATGGAGAAGAAAACCAGATATGGTTGCCCCCCCCCTGGACCAATTTAGATCTAGGGTCTTAAAGTCACTTGGTGTTTTTTTCGTGTGACGTTTTATACTTTCACAAATAATTAGGATGCTCTTAAACTTACTTACGCATGGAATCTAATACGCTCAACACATGATAGTTCACGTGAATAGTCCGCTCTAAATTTTCATCAACGCTAATTTCATGTCAATCGCCCTGGACCGATATAGATAAAGGGCCTTCAAGTCATTTCATGTGACTTTACTTTCGTGTAGGATACTCTCAACCTCAAGTCACCTACACGGTCTTTTACGTTTACTACATGACTAATTTTACATGGACAGTCTACTCTAATACCAAGTTAATTATCATGCTATGCTTTTCATCCTTTGACCACGAATACTCTCCACACAAATTTCGTAATTCAATCACAATTTCTTGAAATCTTAAAAGAGAGAGGAAACTAAAATTGGTGAAAATATAGTATATCCCTTAATCATATTAGTCCCTGGTAAGTTGGCAATCTGCACATTGCAGTGCCTCAAAGTTCAAGACAACCTCTAGCTTGTTTGGTTGATTTAAATCATATATGTTATGCAAGTTATGAACACATTAAATTTGACAGATCCGTTTTGGTTGAAAATTGACAATTTCACTCCTCTCTTTGTCCATCTTGTCCTGCAAAACTTGAGACCAAAAATAATTTACACGACTATATTATGTGTGTGTGTGTGTGTGTGTGTGTTTATACATGAATGTGTGCGTCATCCGTGGCCTTATTCATCGGCCACTGACGGGTCCATGGCCTTTTGATGTTATATTGGTGATTGAGTAACCAGTTATCTATGTCCATAATTTAATAGTGGACTTGACTATAAATTTTATTTTTTAATTTATCAGGCTAAGAGTTAGTTGGTAAGACGATTACATGTCATAAAACTGCTATGCGTTTTTGTTACAAGAAAAGATCAGATGTTGTTTAAAAATAATAATGAGCTGGCTGAAGAATTTGGTGCATATTTTTCTAGAGTTATATATGTGGGCTAAAACATAGGAGCCTTGCACATGATTTATTCAGATTTGACCTAAATTCATGGCAACTAAAATTCACTTTTTTTTACAAGACGATATTTTAAACTACAGATAATCAATGTGTACGGGGATTCGGACTTAGGGCCATTAACTGGTCGAATTTGGACAAGCAACGTCTTTCATTTTCTCTCCATCTCATCGATGATCTGGTTTCTGACACTCTACTAGCTAGCTAGAGTAGCCTAGATGAGTGATTAGCTTGACAAATAAGGCCACATTTTGTTTTATGTCTAACATAACCATGGCAACTGGGGACACTTTGCTCCATCTCCAGGAACACCTTCTCTTTATCCTCTTGAATTTCCTGAATCATTAAGCTCTATTAGCAGACAGAGCTTGCCTTGTGATGGTGATTTGATTTCACATTCAGGTCCACTTAAAGTTAGTCATGCTTAACCATGAGAGAGACTTACATGAAGGGGCGACGCTAGCTAGGGTGGCGAAAACTCGAAAACTCGAAATTGGTTGGCTTCCAGCCTCTTGACAAGTCTGGCTTAAGTTCACAACAATGCTCCGCGTGAAGAGGCCGCAGCTAGCATGTGATGCACAGATAGACAGACTGAAGCTAATGTTGTGTCGTATAAATTATTGAAATGATTTCCGGACCAGATTACTAACAAATTACTTTTGCTGCAGTACTTGATGAACATATTAGGGGCTCACAAAATAACTGTCCAAAGTATGAGGGGAAGGTGTGACGAGGAGGTAGCTGTTGGAAACAATGTCGTTTTGGCGGCTGCAGCAATCTTGCGGTCGAGGTAATTTTTGGGTTTCTGGTTTAGAGTTTAGGGTAATTTCATCCATCAATAAGATGGACCAGCTGTCGTGCCCTTGCCCTCAAAATGAGGGAAGCGTTACTTCCATGTCGCATGACTTGCATCGATCCAAATCAAAATCTTGGACCTTATTCTTTCCTCTTTATTCACACTGAGTTTGTCTTAGTACTTTCCATACCTATAGAGGCAAAATTGTAACAAACATTTCTATATAATGTTTGAGCATTTGAGAGGAAGTAGCAGCTTTATGGTTGAACCGGTACCTACTTCTTTGTGCCGAGTCTTTGAATCGAAAGAGCCATATATAGTTTTATTGGATGAACAGATTCAACAAACAACTAATGTTATACATCATGTACAAATTAAAATAAGTTAGGATCGATGCCCGTATTGTAGTTAATATACACAAATTATCAGCAGAACAGAAGATCAAGTGGCTGATTAACTTTCTAGTTACAAGTGAAGCAGAAACATGTAGCAGGAGCCTTGCCTGTTGACCTAATCCTTTTCGCCTTTTCTTTCACCTTCGACTCTTCATTTCTTCGTTTCTCTTCCGCTTGTGCCCTTGCTCCTCCTGCTATCTGGTCAATTCTTGCTTGCTTAATTTGGTAATGCTGCATGTTTCTTGCTCTTCTTTGCTCAATTTCATTCTGCAATCAACACATTATTTCAGCGATCTTCTTCATTGGCGTTCCTCAAACTTTGAATTAAAAAAAAACAACAATCATTGCAACGTACCTTTCTCCTCTCCATCTTAGCTTTTGCTTGCATTTTCTTCTCGTTTTCCCAAGCAACAATTGTAGCCTTCACTTTCTCATACCTGAATAGTATAATTTACCATTTCAAAAGAAAGAAACTGAATTCGTCTTCTATCAACAACGACTATTTTGGACTAGTGACTTCCGCACATGCCTTTTCCCCTCAGAATCAAGGGTTATAAATAGTAAGGACGTGTAAAAGGGGGAAAGGGGTGTGCAGAAATCGTTTCCTTAACATAAAGATAAAGCAATTAGTCTTTACCGCTTCTGAATCTTCTTCATCTGGGCACTCTCCCAAGCATCTGGTTTTGTTTCCACAACATTACGTCCGACTGAACTTCCACTTTGGTTCTGGTATCCATTTCCCGGAGTCGAAGGTCTTGAAGAGGATGCCCGATTAGGGTAACTAGATGGAAGTTCTCTTTGATCCATTGACTTTTTCCTTGAAACTTCATCTACTATGTATACAACCTGTTAATTCTCTGAAACATATTATCACAAAAAAAATTAATGATGTATGCAGTCAAGTACCATTATTCCTTGTTTCCTTGTTTGGTCGCCCAGTCCTCATGTCCTGCAAACTCTTGGTCCTTGGGATCGGAATGCTTTCCCTCGTCCCTTTTCGATACTGTAATTTAGGTTCTTCATTGGAGTGAATGGCGAACGCAGCTGATGCAACGGCAGTTACAAGCTCGATATCTTGTGCATCAGAATAATGACTCATTTTCTCAGGGAAACAGGCCCGGGAACCAGTTTTGCCCCTGTTATCCACCAAAAAAATGTCATTAAGAGTTTCTTTAGTATTCATGTAACTTTAGTTTTCTGTGTTCCAATAAACAGCCACATAATTGAACAAACGTTCTGCTTTCAGTTACATGAAATATATTTTCGACAAATATATGTCAAGTTTAACTGCATACATATAAGGAAATATAGTAGAAGAGTATGCAAATTAGTACCTAGCTATACAGATTCCGTTTGTTGGCGGCCGCTTTCTTTCTGTAGAAACCTCTGTCGTTGATTCCTCGCTCTCGAACTTCCTGGTTTACGAGTAGATTACTGTTTGGTTGCCAAGAAAACTAGAAGCAAAGGCTGTGATACTATTACTTATATCAGAATTTTGGTCACCAACAGGGAGAGACATGGAAGCAAAGCAAAGAAAAAGTTATGCTTTGCAGTTTGCATGAATCCATGGACAAGGAAGCAAAGGATATTACCCGAATACAACACAAAAGCACTTGCATAAAAACCTAAACTAGCAAGTTTCTTCCATTTTCATTTATATGGTCTTCTTTTTCCTTCATAATGTTATATCATATTCAGAAAAGTGATTTCCTCATTCCCTTTTTCTTCTTCTGCACATCCTTCTTTATTTATATCTTTTCATTTCTTCAGTTTGAATACTAATAATGAACATAAACGCGTGGTGAAGTAAAAGGGTACGCGGAAATCACTTTTCTATATTGAAGATGCAGTAGTGATCTTGAAGTTTGATGAATGGAAATGGAATGGAAACCCAAGAATGGACTCACCAATCACAGCATATTCTCATTCCATGCAGCTAGCTGTCCTTATTCCATTGGATGGAGAAGGTTTTTAGTGTGCCACGATACACCAAGTGTCATAACACAAGTGGTTAGAGATTTTTTTTCAAGTATATAAGATATCCAACCACTTGTATTATGACACTTAATGTACCAGACCTTATTCCCGGCACACTGAAAAATCTTAATTGGATGAGAATGGTATAACAACAACAATGAATTCTGCTGGCCCACCAGACTAACCAAGCAACAACAGCTTAAAATATAATTAAATCTATGAATCAAAGGTTGGAAGTTAATTGGAGAAGTAGTAGATGTGTGTTATTGGGTTTAGGGTTACTTCATTCTCAAACATTGAGAGCATCTGTGTTTGCTTGTTTTTGGGGTTTTCAACTTTTCAAGCACTTGGTAATTCTAGCGTAAACCTTCAATTATGAAGGACCTGACAGTACGTACGAAAATTTAGTATTCAGGATAAATCTTAACAGCTGCTTTGATAACGGTTGAATCCATTAGAATTGGTCCTGTTTGTGTCAATCCTAGCTCGAAACCTATCAGTAACCCAAGTTGCCGCTGAGTGGTAGCGGTATAATGTGGGAGCTGTGGTTGCCTGTTGGGGTTGACCGTGACCACGAGTATTGCGATCCGATGGTGGGGATGGTTTGATTAAGAAGTTGGATCAATTGAAGGCGGTTGGATTTAGGGTTTTGTTGACTGGATGTGATGGGGACTTACTGGTTGACCGTCAGATGGAGATGGTGAAGATGTTGGAGGGAAAGGGTGTGGAAGTGGCGGGGCATTTTGTTGGACGAGGTTATCATGGGGTTGAGACCAAACCTGTGCATCCTGTTATTAAAAGTTTCATATTTTTTTTGTCGAGAAAATTTTCATTGTGACGGGAATGGTACACTGGTTTTATATAAATGGTGGAAAATTTTATTTTTTAAGTTATTAACTTTTTAACACACGTATCCCACTATTTGTATAATGATATCTCGTGTACCGATCATATTGAAATATGTCTCTTCTTCGTCGGCTGCAGATGTCAACTGAGGTTTCTAAATCTTATGTAATTAGTGACTAATAGATTAGTGTTAATAAAGCTTGATGTAATTATATTGTACTTTGTAGTTTGGTATTGTCAAACTGTCGTGGAAACAAGGGAAGCCTTCTCGGTTGCAGCCCGTTTGCCCGTTTGCTGAAGCGTTGGTTCAGTCAGTTTCCGCTCGCGCCCATGAAAACCGATGAGAAGAGCAGTGGTGCAAAGGGAAGACGAAGCTGATTATATTGTTGTAATTTTAATTAATATGCATCATTATTTCCGTTTTTTGGATGAAACACAGTGCAAATGTGACACATCTTGCATTAGTTGCACCACTAATAAAGATTCAATGACCAAAAGTGATTAAATTAATGACTAAGAAGCTCATAATCTGCAACTTATAAGGGAAAATAAAAAGGAGACGATGACGACGACGATGATGCGACCATGATCAGTTGGATGCAGTTCAGGTTCAAGTTCCTCCTGAGACACATTTGCAGTAATGACACTGGTTTCTTCATCTCCGACAAGAAGGTTTCCTTGAAATCAAATTTGCTTGAGCACCAAGGAGTTTTCCTTTTCCTTCCTAAAGTTTTGAAATCAAATTTACTACTATACCATACTTTTTTAATTTAAATTAGCCCATAAATCATCCAAATCCAAAGACATACAAAAATTTCAAATAATACATTTTACATGATACGAACTGAATCATATTCAAGAAGTAGAACAGAAGATTCACTATGAGCAAAGCCTCCTCGCAATGCTTCCGCGGAGAAAAATGGGGCTGGCGTGGTGTTTGTCCTCATAGTGTTTGGGAGTGCGACACTCTGCAGCATTGGTTACAAACCGATCAGCATCCTCGTCATCGTCATCAGGCTCATCAGTGAAATCAGACGGCTTGTTCTGCTTCTTCCTTTCGTATCCAGGTCGTGTGACAGCCTATAATTCGGGTCACCCTCTTACCCATCGGGAGATTAACTTGAAAGTCAAAACAAAACGATAGAACAAAATCAGTAAACAATTTATCACCGATAGTTTCACTATCGAAAGAAAACAAATAAATTTAAAATTGGTCAATCGAAACCATATGTGGTCATTCTTCAATGCTACTCGTTCAATCCACCACAACTGGATTTTGATACTTTCGTCGGAGATGGCTGTTTCGATGACATGTTCCCGGCCAATATCTCCGTCATTGTCCAAGAAACACTTGACTAAGTTGTTGCTGCTGCCCTGCAACATGACCCCGCCTTGTTTTGTCGAGCTCGCCGCACCCTTTGTCCTTAAACTTTCTGTATGTATTGCCTCGCAATCACTCTCCCAGCAACGCTTATGGTTGCCGGAGTATTTTGGTGTGGAGTAAGCACAAACACCTTGATCATCTGCTCTGGCTTCAAATTCTCGTTCACGGCTACTTCCGGAATCAAATCAAACTCTTTCTCAAGATCATTAAACTCGTCCTCACAAGCTTCCCCGGAGTCCAAACCGCTCACAAACTCGCACTTGGCCATTTCAATGGCGGCAATTCTCGAGTTGTGGAGGACCAACAAGACGACTAGTGGCGGTTGATGGTCGTCGTCGTGGTGGTGGTGAAGAAGAAGAAATATCGCCGCCACCGCCGCCTTTCCTGACGTTCGCATCGCATGACCACAATATCACAATGTCTAGTTGGGCTGCAGCTTCAACTTTGACTCCAACAGACATCACAATATCTTTGGATTTATTTGACTTGGAGAACCGGGAAAAGTAAAATCAAATTCATTGTCCCTAATTTAATGGAATTCAAACTACCTACATAAGAAAATGAGTTCAATCCAAGCGTTTATAACTTTATAGTATAGGTTAGTTTTGATTATGGCTTCTGATAAAAAATAAATAAAAAGAGCATATCAAATATTAAATCAACGGCAGGTTATTTTGACACGCTTCTTTTACCTTCTCAAACAAAAAACAGTAGGCATGATGAAATAGACGTGTGAGAAATTAAAACGCGTATGTGTTTATCATTTTCTTAAATCAACATAAAGGTAGAGCGTTTTTAATTATGTTTAGCATAAAAACGCTTCTAGAAAAGTACGTGTCAAATGCTTAACCCTCACAAAGCACTCTCGAGCACTTTTCGAAGAAGCGCTTAGATATTTATTAAAAATTTTCAACGTGCTTTCTACTAAAATGCTTAATTTCGAAATTACCGAGCATCGGTCAACTTCACACGTTCAGGGACCTACTGGAGAAGTCGTATTGAGGTATCCTTGCTGAAGCACAAGAGTTTCTCTCCAACCAAAAGGCTAATTATAACAAGACACGTGTCAACATCAGAAGAAGGCTCTTAGAGTCTTACATCGACCGCGGACAGAAGCCAGAAACTCTCCTCAACTATAAAGGAGATCATTCTCCTACAATTAGAACTCACCAATGAGATTATACTTAAACCATTGTATTATGTAAACCCTTCACTATTAATGAGAACTCATCTACCCTTGCGTTTGTTTTCTATCGCTATCTCTTACATATCATTTTCATTAGGTGACCAGAGTAACCTCGTGAATGTCACAAATTTAAAATTTTACGCTGTTTCAAAATCTCACTAATTTTATGCATCAACAGACCCAAAATAACTTAACTCGGATCAAACACATCAAAATCATAAAAACTTAAAAACATTCCGTAAAACAAAAGCAAAAACCTTTATTCTAGGAGAAGAACATTTTGTGGTGGCATTACTTACGGGTAAAGTTTACGCTTCTGAAGAAAAATTAAAAAAATTAAAAAATTAAAAAGGAAAAAGAAAAACTACCTTCCAGAATATCTGCTAATAGACAAAGATAAGCTCAACAGACTGAGAGGAGTATCTGCCAATAAAAATTGCACGCAAATCCATCCAAAACTCTCACTTTCACCTCTAATTAGTATTTAGTAATTAATTATCGTTAACTCTGTACGATCATAACCTTTCCTCTAAAATTATACGTAACTCTTGATCTACTCCCATCATCTAATCTCTGTATTCTTTGTCTCTTTGCCGACAGTACACAGCAACAGTATGCCTTGGCATCACATGATATGAACAGTTCGTATGTAGCATAGTCTAAAGACTTTTAGCTGAATTCCAATTATCCAAGACGGACCCATCTCACCCAACGAAGTTTCCATGTCCTTGAATCGGCTGCCAACAACTCCGAGTGGGGACAGAGATAGCTTGTTTGATTAGCTGCAAAGCATCACAGAATTGATGTGCTTTTGCTTCCAGCTCCAGCTTCATCAATGGCGTCGTTGATGGTAAATTTTCAATCTTTGAGCTTGATTTTGACAAGGGTTTGCCTTGTTATGATCAAATATTAGTTCTTCACATGTTGGTTGTCCTTGAAATCTGAACTCTCCAAGGAAAAGCTGCTTTTTTTGGTTTTGTTTGTGATAATTCTCAATAGGGTTGTGTATATTTGTGTTGAATTTTGTCGATGAAATGCCCTTCTTCTTCATATGTGTGTGTGTGTGTGTGTGTGTATGTGTATATATATCAGTGCCTTGATGTAATAGCTTGAATTTGAGATCTGAATTTGGTAATCGATTCCCTTCTCCTCACCTAATGCAACTTTCAAATGTTGGTGCGTTGCTTTTGCAGCAGTTAACAACAATTAATCCGAATAAAAGTTCATTTATGGCAATGCAACCATTGTCAAGCATATATTTACCATCCACTAGTTTGAATTGGCTTTGGTAGTGTTCTGATTCACAAATTAATGTATATACACAAGAAATTGGAACTACCAGTGAACTAACTGTCACTGGATCTTCCTCAGAACCCGAAATCTCTTTTTACGAGAAAACAGGAATGTATAAACTACCTTTACTTTCTCGTCCGAAAGATGATGCCTTTCTTTCTCTTTTGCAGTTTTCGATGATACTTTTTTGCTTACAATGATATTTTTCTATCAGAAGTTTTTGCTTCTGGAATTTTTAAGATATATAGCAGCGGAGAATCATGTATTTTAGGAACATGTCAAGTGGTGGCATGACACAATCTCTGCTTCTCAAAGGTTTATCTTTCTCCTGTTGCAGTTAATTTAAATTGGCTGAGCTGGTGGCGAGACTGCTGCGACTGAATTTCCAATGGAATTCCGTCTCTCATTGGTCCTCTTTCTGGTTTCTCTCCCTGCAATTTTAGCTCAAGATTTTGGGAAAACTAACAATGTTGAAAATGTTAAGGTTGTGGTTAACGGCATTTTAGCTGTTGCACGAATTGACAATAACTTTGTCTGTGCCACTATTGATTGGTGGAACCATGAAAAGTGTGACTACGGCCAGTGTCCATGGGGAAATGCATCCGCATTAAATTTGGTAAACAGTCGGAGATACCTCTGTATGGTTTTTTTTTTCTATTTTCCCTGCATGTCAAATAGTAAGAAAGGCAGTTTGAAGTTAAACTAAAACTTAATGTTGTTTGCTTTTCTCCAGAACTTATCTCATCCTTTGCTAGCCAAGTCAATCCAAGGTTTGTCTGTTCGTGTTAATAAGTTCGCATCCTTGACAGAATACTAGTTTTTGAATTAGACTTTCACGTCAGTTAGAACAGATAGAGTCTTTTAGTTATATTTGTTAGAATAACATTTTGTTGAATTACTCTTCTATACTGGTCGTTTGATAGCTTTCAATCAGTTGAGAATCAGAATTGGAGGTTCCTTGGAAGACCAACTGTTGTACGATGTTGGAAATTTGAAATATCCTTGCCATCCTTTCAGAAAGATGAAAGGTGGCTTGTTCGGTTTTTCTAGAGGATGTTTATCCATGAGTAGATGGGATGAGCTGAACCAATTTTTCAGCAAAACAAGGTAAGATTCAAGTTATCAACCTCCACCACAACCAGGCAAATATTTGAAGACAAGAAAAGCCGGGTCTTCTTCCGTGCTTACTTGTGGTCTTATCTGTGATTTTTATCTTGCCTTTTTAGGTCCATCGTCACATTTAGCTTGAATGCACTGTTGGGGAGGCACCACAAAGGCGGGGGAGTTTGGGTAGGAGACTGGGACTCTAGCAATGCTTATGATTTTATTAAGTACACCGTCTCAAAGAGATACCAGATAGATTCATGGGAATTTGGTATGAAACTATAGACAAATCTTGTTTTCTTCCCCATCGTTCGGTGTTTTGCTTCACTTAAGCTTTTGTTTATTTTGCCGTAGGAAATGAGCTCAGTGGTAGTGGTGTTGAAGCTAGTGTTGGAGCTGGACAATACGGAAGAGATTTGATCAAGCTTAAACGCATCATCAACCATCTGTACAATGAGTCCGTTGCTAAACCTGCACTTATGGCGCCCGGAGGATTCTTTGACCAATCGTGGTTTGCCAGGCTTCTTCAGGTTTCTGGTTCTGGCACAGTCGATATCATCTCTCAGCATCTCTACAATTTGGGTGCAGGTAAATTAGTGTGTTAAACTTTTAATAAATGCGCAGTTTATAATTGTATAATATATGCTTAGACTATATTTTGTTCTATTGTCAGGTGTTGATCCCATGTTGGTGAAAAAAATATTGGATCCCCATTACCTGGACCGTGCATATGGGTCATTCCATGATCTTGAACAAACTGTGAAAAAGAACGGTCCTTGGGCTTCTATATGGGTTGGTGAATCTGGAGGGGCTTATAACAGCGGTGGTCGTAATGTGTCTGACACATATGTGAACAGCTTTTGGTAATAATCTTGATTGCCACATTAGTTGCAACATCGTGTCTTTGCCATTGCAAGCTTTTGATTGCAGAAAGGAGCTATTCGCCTTTGGTGACTGTAATTTTGTTTAATCAACTAACCAGAATAAATATTACATATGAACTTTAGGTACTTGGATCAGCTCGGAATGTCAGCAAAGTACAATACCAGAGTATATTGCAGGCAGTCTCTAGTTGGCGGGAACTACGGTCTTCTCAACAGAACCTCATTTGTTCCTAACCCAGATTACTACAGGTAAAGCATCGGCGGGAGTATTGAAGAAGGATTTTCTTTTACTTGATACAATAGAGCCCTGAATTTTATTTTCTCTGATTTGTTTTCTGAATACTGAATAGTGCACTTCTATGGCATCGGCTTATGGGACGAGGAGTTCTTAGTGCCGACAACAATGGTTCAGCAGATTTACGCACTTATGCCCATTGTACAAGAGGAAGAGTAAGTCCTAGCAGCACTTCAACTTCAACATAATACATAACAAGTGAATACATTGATCTTACTCTTCGTAGTTTATGATTATTTTCACGGTATTGTTGCAGGCGGGTATAACTCTGCTCCTTATCAATCTAAGCAATGAGACTAATTTCATTGTCAATATTGAAAATGTTTTGGACACCGATTTGGGTGCTCAAGCAAGAAACGCTGGCAAAGAGAGTAATTTCAAGCGCGGCCTGAAGAGAACGGTGTCATGGGTTGGACGCAAAGCATTAGACGAAGCAATTTACAGAGAAGAATACCATTTGACACCGAAAGATGGGGACGTCAAAAGCAAAACCATGGTTCACAACGGAGCTCCATTGGAGATTACCAAGGACGGAAACATCCCAGAAATGGAACCCTCTCGTGTTGACATGAAAGCTCCGTTAAGAATCTCCCCGTTGTCCATCAAGTTCGTGGTGTTGCCTTTCTTTGATGCGCAAGCATGTCTATGATTTTTGTGTACTCAACCAAACCATTACTTATATTTGGTTGTTAGGTAGCATACACCTAAAAATTGCAGGAATTTGGGGGCCAATGGAAATTGTAAATTTTGTGCAATAAAACAGGGGCGGTGTTATCGACCCACCCATGTTTACCTTTCACGCACCTCCTGTCAATTTTTGCCCTGTGATAATCTGCAATTCATTTGATCCGGAGGACGAAGATTGTGAGGAGTGAGCGGAAGGTAAAACCCGCCAAAGAGTTCATATTCTCAGCACGTATTTCATGTGGAAGAATAAGGGAAATAAAGTCTTTGTAAAAAGTGATGTTTTGTATTCTTAATCTTGTATTCTTTCCTATTCAATTCGTGAGTTTATAATAAGTTACCTGTGTTTATAATGTTCTGTTTTAATTATGTTTTATTATTGTTGCATCATTGGAATACTCTAATTCATGAGAAGTGGAATTCGAACCTAGTGCAAAAGGCGGGTGAATAGTTGTACCGAATAACTCAGGGTGATAGTCTAAGGGTATTTTAGCTAAAATTGTGTTTGAAATTGGTGTAACTATTCACTTTGGTCATTAAGATTTTGAAAGTTGATAGAAGTGGGTCCACCGTTATTCATTTTGGTCCTTCAATTAACGGAGATTTTCACGAAATGACCAAAATGATTGACGGTTAACTAACTTAGGTATCACTTCTATCAATTTTCAATCTCAATGACCAAAGTGAAAAGTTATGTCAATCTCAGAAATCATTTTAGCTAAAAGCTTAGTCTAAATTACTCGAATGAGGATCCTCTCCGGATCCTCTTTGTGAGGATCCAAGGGAACCTTTAATCGTATCTGTTTATCATAAATCATGCAGTCAGTTTTCATAAGGTATTATTTGTGTTCAATTTTAAATATAAAATTTAAAATAATTTCTGATAACACAATATATGATAAATGGACATAATTAGAAAATTCCTAAGATCCTCACAAAGAAGATCCGAAAAAGATCTCATTCAAATTACTCTAAAATCGAAATTACCATAAACGACCGAAACGACAAGAAGTCCCTCTCCGAGCCGTCTCGTCTCTCTTCAGCCTTTTGCGACGGCAAGACCCAGCCGGACGTAGCTAAAAGGCAAGCCGTCGTGTACAAGCTCTACCCCACAAAGATGACCAGCATCATGACCTCAAACTCAAACCCACCAACTCGTGACACGTGTAAAGTTACATAATTTACTCGCAAGAGATTTTTTTAGTGTTACCGGAACACGAGTAATATATGAAAACACGTGGTATATCATTTATGTTTCAGTCACAATAAAAATTTCTCTTTATTTAGAATACCATTACAATAACATCTTATTAATTCATAATTAGCTAGAAAACCGTTGTATTGATGTAAAATTAGCTTGAAATACTACTACAATAACATCGTATTAATTCATAATTAGCTTAGAAATTTGTTGTATCGATGTCAAATTAGCTTGGAATACCACTACAGTAACGTCATATTTGCTTGCTTGGTGTAGCTCTTTAACTTTTGTTTGTTTTATTTTGCAAGGTCATTACTTTGTGTAGCTCTTGAATTATATGCAGAAAGCAAGATAAAGGCATCTTAAAGGAAAATGTCTCGTTTTATCAATTAATCTTCCAACTCGCGTTCGACGAACAAAGTTTTATACAAAATCCAGATACTTGAAAGTGTGTACATCCAGATCAATGAATGGGGGGAGAAAAGAATGAGGGGTATGAGACGGAGCCGCAAATACAATCCGAAAGAATGAGGAGTACGGGGAGGGAGACGCAAATACAATCCGGTCTGTCCAGGAAAGCATCTACAACCCTGCATTTTACTTTCCGAGCAAGCGACGACCACGTAGATTTGCATCTCCAATGCGGCTGTTTAACACATCAGCATCATCGTAGAGATGGTCAATAGATCTGCTTTGCCTGCACGTATTACAGAAGTAATTAGTTACACATAGTTCTACATCAGCATCATGAGCAAATAAACGTTAAAGGTATAGAATGATTGGAAAAATGCTGGCACGCCCGTGTATCGGAATCATTATAACTTACCTCTCAATTTCAGACCCCATATCAATGGCCATACCCTTCAGCTCTCCCAACAGATCACTTAAATCGGACAATCCATCATCTTGCTTCGACTTCTCAACCTGTTTAAGACAAAAGGTTAGACATCCAGAAGATTCGAGGAAGAACAAAGCATTTCATATGGCAAGCAAACAAAACCAGCTAATATCCTCTCTTGTTTTCTACAGATACAATTATTAGTAACAAGTTAATAACAAAATACAAACCTCAACTTTCTGAAGGGTGCTGGTTGGTCCATCAGGTAATGTTCGTGGATTAGATCTTCCCTTGGGTTCTGGTCTCAGTCCCAACTTCTCCCTCTCCTCCTGGCTGCCCATTCTGACTGCATGGTCTGCATTTTCCAATTTTTGAAATGAAAATTTTATTATTTTCCAATGCAAACTGACGACATTATTACTTTTTCCACGGACACAAAGATGGAGCATATAAGTCATGGACAGAAAAGAAAGAAAATTAACCTCCTGTAATGAGAGGGCCACGTATTGGGCGAGTCCTCTTTGGCTTCCAAGTCTTAGAGAAGATGCCCCCAAGACTTCCCAGAAGCTTTTCACCCTGAAATTAGCAAGTTCAATTGTTCAGTTTGCTGAAGAAGATCATCGTATATCCCAAAAGAAACAGTAACAAAACGATAGGAGTTGTTGAAAGCCGACTGCAAATCTAAAAGAAGCATAATTCTTAGTGAAGATGAGGGAAAAGGAAGCGATTGTTCACAAAGAAGGCGCATAAGATATAATCAAACTCTCTCCAGGAGGAGCCAGGGGTTTGGAATGGAGAAGTTCTGACAGAAATCAAGACCAAAAGGACAAACAGACATATTACAAACACAAAACAGACAATACATGTATGAACAAGGTCACTTGCAATAACAAAATTTCATAGAATACAAAAACGATGAACTCCAATGGTTCACCATAAAACTATAAGGACATAATACTTTCACGTCCAATCCTTTTATATGCACTTATTCTTGATGTATCAAGTACATATTTTTAATTTGATAACATACCCGAGTAAGATCCTGATCGATGTCTGCAGCAACCATGTGGGTCCTAGTGATTTGTTCGCCTTGCTGATGCAACATGACCAAAGTCTTGGTAGCATCCTCCCTCATTTCTTCAGCAATCTTCAAGCAGCCGTGGACTGCTTTTGTAGTCTCCTCAGCCTTGTACACTGCATAGTTCTCCAACTCTTCCACTGATTGATTCTCTACTCCTCCTGTGTCACGGAAATCATTCTTGTATTTGTTCCTCTCAGTCAAAATAGTCTTGTATGCATAGGAAGAAGACTTCTCCTGTCCTCGCTGTCCAACTGGTGCATCTTCAAAAGGGTTTGAGTCAGAGGACGCCGGATGTACAGGATTCAGTGTGATATGTTTAGCAGCCTTCAAAGGAGACTTCTTTAAACCAAACATTTTCGGTGGAAAAAATGTGCACACTTTACTTGGGCCGCGTTGAAGATCTTAGAAGAACTAAAAAAATATGGTAATTAGAAATCTACACAGAGATCAACAGCAATCCTGGAAAAGCAAACAAGAACAATATGTGAGATAACAAAAGCATCGGTGCTCAAACAGAGAAGGGGTCAATTTCGAAGAAATACACTAGAGCATTATCATTGCAAAACTTCACAGAGAAGAAACAACACAATTGAATGATGAGGACCAAATCAAGCAACACAAACTTGTACAGAAAACATACAGAAATTGAAAAGGTTGCCCAATTCCTAAATTCATACAATCTTTCAATATGAAAAATCGGAAAAATAAAACGAGATCAGACCTAAAACAATAGCATCTACAATATTCAATCACAAATCCAACAACTCCATTTGCTTAATTTGGTTGCCAAGAAAATACAAGAGAAAGAATCAAATTCCAACTTCATCATATGGGTATCCCAGAAAAATAAACAATTTCTGGTTGACTTGACCTTGTTCATTACTCAAACAACCCCAAACTTCACAAACAAAAGAACACAAAATTCCATTTTCGTTGCGTTTTCCTCCATTTCTCAGCAACCAAACAAGAAAATCACAAAACTCATGTAGATAATATCAGAACTGGGAATTTGAAATTAAAAGTAGAGAAGTCGACCGTTAGATAACGACAAGAAAGGGGACAAAAACAGAGAAGCTACAGGGCAACCCATGTGAAAAAAAAAGCAGAAAATAATCGAAAAGCAGAAGCAGAATCCAAGAAATCGTTTGAAGGTGAAGGATTTGGGTACCTGAGAAATCGCGGCAACTGTCTCGCAGAAAAGAAAAGTTTGACGCTCCGCACGAAAGGCCAGATCTTTTGAGAGAGAGAGAGAGAGAGAGAGAGAGATTTTAAAGAGTGGGGAAAGAGGGAGAGGGAAGTATTCAAAGGTAAAGACTTGGTAAGACGCGGAGTCGCAAATCGTAGGCTTTGAAGATGGAAACTGGCGAGAAACTGTAATTTCCGGTGATCTGGGGATGTAAAACGCAGTGTTTTGGTGATTTTTGTGTGTGTGTGTGTGTGTGTGTGTTTTTTTTTTTTTCTTACTATCCTCTTTTAATTAATTACTTTTGCATCTCAATTATATTTTCTAGATGGTGCAAGTTGAACAAATCAAATTATTCTTAAATGGATGACTTGGACCACTTCTTTGAGTTTTTGTAATTAAATCCCCTTTGGCAAGGTGGTACTATCCTTTGCAATTACTGCAAGGATGGTGATATTCACACACTTGTACTTTTTACATATTTTTCAGTTTTTGACCCCTGAGTTAAATAAATTGAAGAAAATCAAAGTATCTAAATTAATAGAAAGTGTATGGATAACATGACCCATACTAATAGTCTTTTAAGATATGTCCATATGTTTGTTAGTGTGTCCACTCCTTTACATTCAAATTAATTTTTTTTTCCTTCGTGATTTAGAATGTTTCCTTAACATCAATGTAATTTTCATAAAATGAGTTCATCCTTGTTATGAAGTAACAACAACTAGTACCACTAACGCATACTTTGTAGCGTTTCACTAGTATAGTGATTTGGTGGTATTTATCTCCATATACAAGTAGAAGGTCTTAGATTCAAATTTTTTTTTTTTTCTAATAAATTTGATGTCCAATTATGATTGATACATTGTGTAGCAATACACATTTATTTCTCCCAATATTATTGTATAAAGAAAACTATTTAATTGAAAACAATAATTTCATGCATAGACAAAGATTATTTGTGGTGTTATTAACTAATAACTTTGCTTCACATAATATTTATCCTTTTTTGCATGGAGGCCTTTCATAATTTATGCTTATATTTTGTTTTTGTTAACTTTTTTTTTCTTGCAAGCGATAGTTTTAGTGGATTAAATTGTTAGTTATTAGGGGGGGAGGGGATCGGTGAGGATAGAACATGCATCATGGTGTATAGACATAATTACTTTATGTTACCACACTAAACCGCCATTTGTGTTCTTGCTAACCTTTTCATTATTAACAAAATTGGAAGAGGCATGCAACTATCCAAGTTACAGAAGAACATAGAAGAAGAAGATGAAGGTTTAGAAAGAAATGAAAGCTTGAATTGATATCTTCTAAGTTGAACAGATTACAAAAAAAAATAAAAAATGAGAGAGAGTTTACAAACACAACTAACTCTATATCCTTCTAACAACTCTTCTAATAACTTTTATCAGCTAGACTAATCTACATCATTCAATTATAAATAATCTTCACCATTCATCTGTTAATATTCATTTGGGCAAGGATGTACCACAAGAAGAAAAATGGAAAAATAATGGAGGCAAGAAATGGAGCCAATGCGCAGGATATTTAATTCCATTACCATAAGAAAGATAGAAGGACTTCTACTTCCAATTGTCGACTTTCAGAATACTTGTACAACTTTTATATTTTAGTTTTTGGCCCCATAAAAACCTTCTAATTAATTAGGAGAAAAGTCACCATCCGTTATATCCCTTTCCCTTGTACCATATGAGAAGGGCCGGCTTTTTTGATAAAGAAATATATCTATATATTTCTATTTATATATATATATATATATAATATTTTGAATCCAAGGAAAAAATCACATTCTAGAAAATCTTATATATATATTATATAATATTTTGACCAAGGAAAAAATCACCTTCTAGAAAATCTTTTCATCATGCATTTTGGCTCGGTTCGGTTGGCTTGACCTTACTCATTTCCCAAAGTCCATTTTCTCAGCAACCAAACAGTGGACAATTTTTTTAGACTTTCAAATCAATAATTTATGAAGCAACTTCGCGGAAGACTTCAATGTCAACATCTACAAATTAAATTCTTAAGCCTTAAGATTTTTGTACTTTAGACACAATGAGGGTTCCATATTGTCCACGGCAAACAAGGGTAAAACAATAAGAGCACTTCAGCGACCGGTTATCACCAACCGCTGCTAAAACTCAGTAGACCTTTCATGGCAGCCTATTTTCTTGGAGCTACATAATAATTTCGGTACATAGAGAAGAGAAAAAAAGGCTAAAAAGACCATGTTTTTAGACCATACCTCCCAACACCCCTCGGTTCCCCCACACCACCCACCACCCACCACACCCCCCCCCCCCCCCCAAACAAAGCCATAAGAGAGAGAGCAGTGAGAGCTGACGCTGGAATATTAACCATGTAATACGGGGAATTGCTACTACCTTGGCGTTCATCAAGATGTCGGAGAGCAGCAATGGATTTGGTCCCTTCTCTTGTATCACAGAAACAAGATTATACGTTTCAGATGTGTTCTCTCACGGGTAACTGAAACATACATTACAAATCTAAACATCAATACCTGTGCTTCTAACTCAGCAATTATGTGTAACGATGCTTGCTCGATGCAAGCACGGCGCTTACACTCTTCTTCAAGCAAACCTGTCATTCGGTATATCTGAACAGACTGAACTCAGCCATTTCTTGAGCTAGATCCTCCGCTTCTTCGTTTGCCTTCAACTTTTCCTCTTTCAGTTCTTCCTAACAACCGTAAGTAATGTAAGATTTAGAAGTATGATTAACTTATATAACCTCAAAACTCGGAAAAACAGTACGGATTGAATTCGCACCCGAAAGCTTGAAGTACAATTTATGCAACCAGTCAGATAGATTTTCTAATAAAGGCTGTCAAAATCGTCTTAATGATGCCTCCCTGGGAATACATACCTTTAATTGCTTCACAAGAACTTCGTAATCTTCTATCTGCCGCGATATCTTCTCTACCTTCTTTATTAAATCTGCATCTGGTGTGACTACGTACCATTGCCAGTTTGGAAAAAAAGAGAGGGGGGGGGGGGGGCCAATCTTCTCCATACGTGCTTTAGAAAGCTCATCAAAATATTACCACATCAGTGCGAAGAAAAAGTTCTTTTTAGATGAATTTGGAAAGATGAACTGTGTTTTACGGTGATAATATTCGTTATTATACTTGACCAAATGAGGTGTATAAGTTAGGGTTTGAGACCAATCCTTAGTGAAAATGTAAGTGAAACTTAGAAAAGCATTTGAAGTGCTTCCTGCAAAAAGTATTTGAAGTACTTCCTGCAAAAAGCATAATGCTTTTAATCATTTTAAAAATACTTTGAAACGAGTCCTTAATCAGTAAAGAATGAAGTAATTGTAACAAGATACCCCATTTCGTCTGACAAGGCGAGCTTTCCCTCTAGTTCACCCAGAGTCGAGTTGATCACTGTTCGTCTCAAGCTAATTTTTTCAACTCTCTGACAGAATATCCTAGTATTTGTCTCCGATGTGTATCAAGCTTCCTCCTAAGTTCCTTATTTTCCATTTCGAAAAATTCAGTAGTTTTCTTTCCATCCCAAACATTGAACAGCTCAAGATCTTGAATTAACAAACTCATCCTAGTATTTTCTTCAGCAGTTTCTTCTTCCTGTATTTTCTTAGCTTCAAAGCAGCTATATGCTCCAACGCCGATATCTCTTCATACTCTCTATTTCACATCTTGAATTAGCTAAGTATTGGGTTAAGGTTGACAAAGAATAATTTGGTTATTTATTTATTTATTTATTTTATACAAAGCGTGACTGAGGTGGGAAAATCGAAATAAAATTTAAATGTAAATTTTGAGGGACTATAATTTTCCAAATAAAATCCTAGTTTCAACAGAGGAATTCAAATATAAAGTCTCGAATGTAGGAGTATACGTTCTTAATTACTTGATTATAAGCTTCGTAAGTTGTGAATTCCATAGTCTTTTGAATTCCTTTAAAAATAGTTGAGCTGGGCATAATGGTAAGTTAATATCTCTGGTTTGATTTCCATTTGCCTCAAGAACTCTTAGAAGAAGAAGAAGGTATTTCTAAGTACTCCTAGAAACAAACCGATTCAAGACACAAAGCTTCTCTCCCTTTCGGTGAGAGTTTTTCTCTCGTGGTGAGAGTGCTTCTCACTTTGTGTGCCCCTCCTTGCTTGCTTCGTTCAGCCGCCGGCCCTAGCAGTGGTCAGGGTCGGCGGCAACCCCTTGTTCTTCTTCTTTCCTTCTTTTCTTCTTTCTTCTTTTCCTCCCCTACAGTCTGTTTCCGGCCTTTTTTCTCTTCTTCTTGCCTCTGATCTATCTGATCTTAGTCCTCCATCCGAAAATTCTCAACTCCAACCATCTTTTTTTCTCTTCCCTTGCTGGTTTTCCACTTCCATGACACTTTTCAACCCATTTTCTACCTCTCCCTAATGGTTCCAACCTCTCTCGATCTCACAAATTCCCAAATCTGCAACTTTTTGCTTTTTACCGCGTGTCGGGGCTTTCTAGGAAGGCATATAAAGCTCCAACTCGGTGGTCACACCACCACTTTCCATCTATGTGCTGTTGTCGGCATTGTTACTCGTGGGATGTTTTTCCCACGGTTTCATTTACTTGGTGGTTGCGGAATTGAGTTTTGTGGCTTGATGGAGGAGGGTGTAATCTTCATCTTTTCCGATTTGGAAGCTTTGTTTGGTGGGATTATCGGAGACTGCAAGAAGCGATGGTTCGTGGTGACGGTGTTGACGTCTTCTGTGTATCTGCTAGGGTTTTTTTTTCTCAGCTTTATGTTTGTTTGCATTGGCTCAAACTTTGGGTTGGATCTTTTCGCTTTGGGGTCCATATTTTGGTTTTGGGTTTTATTTGTAATTGGATCCCATTTATAAACATTTGCTTTATTAGTAATGAAATTTTACCTTTGTGCCCAAAAAAAACAAACTAATTCAAATTTATTTTCCCATTAGCCATAATAAGAGAGAATTATTCAATATAACTGAGATATATCATTTTACTAATATATCTCTCGTCATTTGATGCTTTGAACCAAAGATTATCGTATTAAATTATGTAATAATCTCATTAGGCCTGGTCCACATTTAAATCAACCTTTTAAAACCTAGTGTAGGTGTTGAGTCCTTACATGACGCCATGAGTTCAAATCTCGTCGATGACTAATATAACAAAATTTATCGTTTGACCCAAAAAAAATCCAATTGACTTTGTATAAAAGTTGACTCAAACGTGCTGACCAAGACAAAAGGTAATATTCTTGCTTGGATTTGAGAAAGCCCACTAATATGATGAGTGTGAGTGATGACTTAGCTCTTACATCTATAATTAGGACTGTTAGGACGGAAAGAGATCCTCTTCGGATCTCTTCTTCCAAAACCATCAAATTAAGTGATTCAAGTCTTTGATTTAGTGGTTTTGGAGAAAGAGATCCGGAGATGATCTCTTTCATGTTAGGACAACTAGGTGTTGACACGTGGGTAGTTTCCCAATTAAGGTGGTTGATAGGCCAATACAATCTCTCTATTATATTATTTTCTTACACATTTTTCTCATTGGACACATGAAATTTTTTAATGTGTTAAAAATACAGTTTGGTACACTCAGAGTTATAATACAAACAGTTGGAAGTGTTCTTGCATGCTGAAAAAATCTCTCCTTCAACAAACCGATTTTCATGTTTGGAATAGGTCTTTGCCTTCTACGGCAGAAAAAGTTTATCTCTTTGATTGAACTGGAACTGGTTGTGATTGTAATCACTTTATTTATGCATTATCCTTTTCAATAAAAAAAAAAAACTTAATACCGCTTTTTTGTCTTAAGAGCGTAAATCACTTCTCGTAATATTATCATTATGTGTGTCTGCTTTCTTGACAACGCACTACCAACTGCCAGCTATCAGAGCAAGTGAAAGTGAAACAACCACTTCTGAGTTCTACATATATTGCCACACAAAATTGATTAAAAAAAAAAAAAAAAAAAAAGAAGTTAAAGTTAAATACATAATTAGTGAATCGTACGATGGTGGTTAGAAAAGTTGAAATGCTTCTTTGAGTCTTTCCGGGTTCAGGAATGATGGACTGGCATGGCAAACCTACCAGCCAATTCCCTTTTTTAAAAAGAAAAATACACTCCTCCTCTCACAACTGTCAATCATAATAAATATGCATTTAAAATCAAATTAAAGTGAAAAAAAAAAATCATGACTTTGCTGATAATATTGGCTACAAAAATAATCAGGCGCGATAACAGTTGAGTTGAAAATCAAATGGTGCTCTAAGTGTTATTAAGATGTAGTTTTCAGATGTTAACTGCATTAAAAGTTGAGCAGAATTTAGATGTTTAGCTCTAACTAAGGGGTAACCAAAACCCGATGGCTAAAAGCCAAAAACTAGTATATAGAATTTGATAAATTAGAGAAAAAATATTATGTGCTTTTTCAGCCTTACCCACCCAAATCAAAACCCATTTGCAGTTCATTTGATGGAAGAAAAGTAAAAGTGTGCTGAACTGACTTTATACCTGCTTGTATACACACTTCTAGTTGTAGTGGTCCAAATATTTTATAAAATTATACACACCCACACACACACACACACACAGAGATGTATGTGTAAATTATTACTGCAAGGACAAATTGCCTTGGTGGATAGGATATTCCTCTTAAATTGATTGCATCACAGGTTGAAAATATTCATTTCCTTAATCTATTAGAGTAGTAATATTGCTCGTAATAATATAAAAAGTTATTACTATTTTATTTTATGAGTGAATAGTGAGCTTAGTAGCAGTTAAGAGTAGAGAAAGAAGTGAGATGAGATGGGGTGTCATGTCTAATGGTAGGTGACTAAACAACCACCTTCAACTAGCTCACATGACCTCTTTGTGTACATTTTAAATTTGCTTTTTTATCTCTTCATGTCTTCATCACTTCACATACCATTCTTATTTTTCTTTTTTCAATCCCTTACTCACTCATATAGTGATTCCAGCATTCTTTTTTTAGCCATCTGCATTCTAAACCGAATATTTTAAAATTTTTATATACTTATAGATGAGTGCTATCATACATTTTTGCATTAATAAAATTTGCAAGTTGGAGATAAGCGGACTCAAACGTTGATATCCGCTATATGGTAAACTATCGCCTCTTCGGTCCCGACTCCTACTACAGAGACGAATGAGACAATAACTTCCTCTAACACAACTTACAACTTTTATCGTATTGTACTCTCCAAAGAGCAATCCTTCTCAAGATCTCAAACTTCTTAACCAAGAGTTAATATCACTAGCCAATATAATTACTCCAAAGACTTATATATGAAATGTAATTACAGCATTGAATTTTTGAGGTCAAACAAAATCAATGAGCCTGAATCTTAAAGGAAATGACATTGTTGGTATAACAAAACAAAAAAAGGATTTGGTAAGGCCTAACTTGGAAGGCAAATTAGCAGCAATACTGCCTCAGCAAGCCCTAAAATCTGTAAAGAATCAATGAATTATGATGTCCAGAAAATATGTATTTGTACCTCTTGAACCTTTATTGGAAGGATAGTAATTTCCGCATTTCATTTTTCTCCTTGCGCACTATTCTTCTTCTTCGCTTGACTCTCATTTGACTTATTCAATCAAAGAGTTAGAAGAAAAAAGGAGGAGTGCAGGAGGAGAAACCGAGAGTGCCGAGATCACTTTCCTATCGAAAATCCATGGCCAAAGGACTTGAAACTCAGTTGGAGATGAGCCCTACAAGGGCAGCCTCATGCTTATGGCTGCTGCTCCCGACCCACCATGGCTTAAATGCTACTGCGGCTGCATCATGGTTGCTACTGCTTTCTTCCTCCACAGGAGCAGGAAGATTGAGATCAAGAAAGTTTCTCACTTCAGGAGCTGCAGGCTTCTGAATCACTAGGGTTTGGCTGGTAATTTTAGCCTCACCAATCAAATGGGATCTTTTGTGCCCTCCCAATGCTTGCCCTGAGGAGAAAACTCTGTAGCAAATTGGACAGGAATGCCCTTTAGTACTTTTTGCACCGCTCTCTGCTATTTCTTGCTCAATGGGGTTGTCATTGTTGCAGCAAGACCCGGGGGAGATGTCAGTTTCCATGGTGTTTTCACCGCTTTCAATCTTCGAAGCGAAGCACCCTTTGGTCTTCTTGTGACTTGCCCTATGGCCTCCGAGAGCTTGGTACGATCGAAAAACCTTGTTGCAAGTAGTACATTCGAATTTGCTTCTCTTTTGTGAACTCTTGCAAACTACTACTTCAGAATCCAAAATATCAGCTCTACTAGTACTCAAATTTTTTGGGGACTGATCTGACCTCAATTCAAAATCACAAGTCTCTTTGATCTTCCTCTTGCTTGAATTGTACTTGTTGGAACCCAATTTATCATTATTCGAAAACCCACCAGCAGAAGAACAAAACTTGGATTTTCTACCTTCAAGTACTGCTAGGGACTCGAAGTTTCGAGGCTCCAACACCTTTTTATTGAGTTTGTTCTTCAGTTTCAAAGTTGTAGCAATCTTACTCTTAATATCCGCAACCCGAGTTGTTCCAACTGATGATGGAGGATCCGAGAACCCTGAATTTCCATCGAAAGAGTCACGAGCTACTAATTTTAAGCCGCCCCAGTGACCCGAATCCCTCGAAAGCATCATCAAACACATAGCAACCTCTTCTTGTTCTTGCTCAATCTCGGAAACAGAGGAAGTAGTAGCAGCAGCAGCAACAATTGAAAAGCTAGAAGATGAAGTTGTTGCTCCCATGTACCTTGTTTTTCTTCCCGATCTTCTTCCCCGATTGGGAGGAGCAGCAGTAGTTTTGTTCTCCGATTGGCTAGTCCAAGAATCTTCGTGTTCTTCCTCGAGGCTCTCAATCGAAACTTTTTCTTTTTCCGAGTGGAACTTCATGTGACCGAAAAGAGATTTCCAAGACTGAAACCCTTTGCCACATTCTCTACAAAACCTGTCCGGATGAAACGAAGTGTCCTCACTCGAGTCCGTGAGCCTCCATGTTTTCTTGGGATTCTCCCTCAGACCATAACCGGGTTGCTGATGAGTTCCGCCTTCGAAATCAGAACCGCCATTGTTGGAGGACGAGAGCTTAACTCTGCCGGTATTGAGCTTTTCCTCTGTTTCCAGCGAATTGTTGATTAAGTGACACCTCATGTGAGCTCCCAATGATCTGCCACAGGGGAAGCTCTTGCTGCAAAACTTGCATACATACTTCAACTCTTGATCTTCTTCCATCGTTTTGAATCAAAACTCAACCAAATACGGAAATTCAGATCAGAAAAGCTTCGAATCTGATCACGAAACTTGGTAAAGCTCCGAGATTCTTGATCTCATTACACTAAAACAGGATAAATGTAATGAAACAGAAGACAACCCGGATCAGAAAATCGACGCGAAAACTCAAACTTGGAGTGAGAATTGCATCAGATCAAGCTTTGTTGCTGCTTTTTGAACTACCCCAGAGAAAAAATCTCAGATTTCATGAATTATGAACTAGAAAAAGGTTAAAAATTAAAAAAAGAAAAAACATATATCAGTAGCTTTGCTCTTCTGCTCCGCTGTTTTCTTTGTTGGTGGTGACGATGGCGACGAACAAGCACAAAGAGAGGAAAAATGAAAAGTGAGAGAGTGAGTGAGCGAGCGAGCGTTTGTTTCTCTTTCGCTTTCTCTCTCTAGTTTTTCTCTCTCTCTCTCTACCTGTGAACTTGACTATTTTTGGAGGAGAAATCCATGCACGGAAGCAAAGATTAAAGTGAGGTAATAGAGAGGAAAGATAGTAGCACGTGTACTCAACTGAGGATCCTACGCCAACTCGAAATCCGACGGCCGAGATTCCCATGTGAGCATCCTATGGTTCAAGAACCTCTACTTAAAAAGAAAAATACATATTTCGTACATGCAGCCGATTCTTCTATTAATTGTAATTAGTATAATCTTAACATTTAAATTGCATAACTTGAAACAATTGATGATTTTAATTATCTTTAAAATCCGTTTTTAATAGAAACCAATTGCATCAAAAATTGTTTAGATATTCATATGCATAAAATAAATTGACATTTTACAAACGGTTGCCCTACTTAAAATTAACTGCCCTCTTCCTTAACTATTCTTTCCTTTGTTACCTACCAAGTAATGGGGCCCCACTCTCGGGCCGTTATTCTTTTGGACTCTCTTCTTTCTCTATTTTTCCTCATCTTGCTTAATTAATTAAGAGTAATGTTATTCATACCATATTTTTGTATCACAATTTCATACTATCTTAGGTGACATTTGATGTGGACAGTTACATCATTTAAATTAATCAGATTTTAAACTTAGTTCATTATTTAATAAACTAATAATTAAGAAAAACTAGTTAATTAAATAATGATTATGATATACGAGGAGTTTTTCTCCTTCATTTCCTTGGGTTTTGCTAATCTTTCAAATAATGTGGTTGTCCACATCAGATGTCACTAAGATGGTATGAAAATGTAGCACAAAAACATGGTATGAATAGCATTTTTAATTATAAACTTTAAATAACTTCAAGATTTAATTTTCATGGTCGGTCCCATCTATCCAGTTTCCTTCAGTTTCAAACAAAGCATAGCATTCCACACTCCCTACTCTTTATGTGAGTTTGATAAGATGGTTATATACTATAATTCAGTTCATCTTTGCAATGGTTAATTGCAGTTGTTTAAGAGTTCCGTCGAATTTGTCGGGGAAGTATTGATATAGCTAGATCGGCCACATATCGGTAATTGTAAAATTAAAGTATCAACAATATTAATAATATTGTTCGGTTACCAACTTTATCCCAATGGCCAGAAATGATCAAATGATTAACCTTAGTTAGTCTTACCATGGATGCAGCAATTTTTTATTTTTTAGGTAACCTATGAAATATTTCTGGAAATATTTCTGGAAAACCACAAGAGTTTGTTAACCGTGATCTCTGATAACTGAGGTAATTCTGATCATATTTTACCATATAACTTGCACCACAAGCATATCTGGCACCAACACTTTTCGTATATGCATAAAACCATATCAGATTTCTTTCTACTGGAAGCTATATATCTTTTAAACAAATGAAAAACTACATAAGAAATCACTTAATTTTCCATAGAATATGAAATGCAAGTGCCTCTAAGATTCAGTTCCTTTAATGCAGAGGAAAGGTTTTAATTTAAATTATTCCATCAACAATTTCAATAAACAGGCACACCAAGTGTTATGATACAAGTGGTTGGATACGTGAAAAAAAAAAAAATCCAATCACTTATATTATGACACTTAGTATACCAAGTCGTGTTTCTGGCACATTGAAATATTTCTCCTTTGATACATGCATGCACTAAATTTTGAACACTAAGTATAAAGAATGGGAGCAGCTAGAATCTTATACTGTTCCAGTACCAAATATAGTATGTCCTTTTTGTGAAAACTTAATTAAGTGGATATATTTGGATGTCCTGCTCACATGCCACTTGATCAAAATATATATTACTTATATTTAGAGGTCAAATAGGCTATAAAGATCTGTGAATATGTACAGTATTAGAAGAACAATCCAACATATAATATCAGATATATAATGTATAATGTACATGCTAACCTAACCACTTAGTTTTTAGCTTACTAACCTAACCAACTAATTTTTAGTATAATTTAATGGTAACTCTGTTTTCAATGTCAAAAAAGGTCCCACGTTCCAATCTCTCGTAGCGATGATTAGAAAGAAACGATCATCCCTAAACAGTATCGAATTTAAATTTTAACGAAACAAAAGTAACTAGCTTAAGGGCCATGTTTTGATTGTTAACAGACGTCGATCTTCTTGATTAATCAGTTAAAAGAACCTAACCCCATGATACATGCTGCATGTCTAGGGTTGTAGGTGCAGCCCTACATCAAAGTCAGAAATGGGGCAGCTAGCATGGCCAAACTACCGGTGCTGGCCGGCCTCTATTGGTGATGGAGGAGTCAGCCGGCTTTCATTGCTCTAATCGTAATTTGAATGTCTTATTAGCAAACCCTTAACCACAGTTAACTGCATAACTCCCCTTCCCTTGTGCCCGTTTTGCCAGCTCTTTAATTAGTATTTAGTACAATGTTTAGCTGTAAACCCTACATTTCTTTTCTCTCCAATTGTATTTTAAAGGATCCACGAGATGTCGTATTATAGACATATACGAACAAGTATGGAGATCATACCGTATCTTTTACGTGCAAGTGTACATATACATGCACGCGTTTAGGTACAACATGTATGCGTAAAAATGTATGTGAGATATGTATGGTAGCCCACAAAAAACTTCACTTGAGAGTCAAGAGAGATGGCCCTCCAAAAGTGATGCTCAACTTGACTAGCATGACTTCTTCAAATGAAAGGATGGCCACAGGCCACTCCTTGTTTTCTGCCATGCCTTGTAATGTGTTGTAAGAGGCTAATAAGATAAGAAGATACCCCCACTTTGGCTCTTTATGCTTTTCTTAAGCTTCCTTCCTTCTTTCCATCCCCTATTTCCTCACCATCCAACACCAAATCTTTTAAACCATCATGGGAGAGACTGCACATTGAGTTACTTTCATTTTTTGACACATTACCCACTTGTATTCTATTCTAAAAATCATATACACTCCTCACTATTCAAAGAAAAACTTTAACGATAATGTTTGGCTAGCTAGGGCAGTTCACCAGGTGGAACATTGTGGGGTCGGATCAACCCAAAATACAGAGAATCTCATGCTTTCGTATGAGCTTATTTACGAATAGTGCGTGGTCGGGATATCCATACACAAGTTTGGTGATCTCAACCCAACATCTAGCTAGGTGGGATGTTGCAATGCTTTGGAATTCCGGTCTACCTCACCTAATAAACTAAACATGACATGTTGCTATTGTGGTTATGCGCTTGGAGGATTTCACTAGGGACTTTTGATGAGTTATGATAGAAAAAGTGCATGGAGTTGTATCTCTTCTGGCAGCCACATCTTGATTTTTGTTCTTAGGAGGCTTGTAATTTAAGTCCAGTCGCCACTAGTTGTTGAACTGCCCACTTTATTCACATGAACTCCACATAGTTAAATGACAAATATTTGTAGTTGGATACCGGCCCTAAGGATGAAAATTCAACTTGGGATATATTTCAGTTTCCATTACTACAATTAACTCTTTTGTGCTAAATTGAACCAAAAGGTGCTGAATCATTCATCACAACGTTTTACGTCAACCAGAACTTGACAATCACAAACTTATTTACAGTAAGAAAGACGGTTTGAATTGCAATAGGTTCACAGTTGGAATCTCTAAAATGAAAAAGATTAGAAGTCATCATAGCCATGGATATAAAATGGTCCAAAAGTTGCATTAGTTATAAGCATATTAAGCTTTAACTAAGTCATAATTAAGCTAGTAGTCTTAGCAGTTGGGGCTTGTTCACTCGAATGCTATTAATTAATCACAATTATTAACAGATTAATTAGCTTCACGGTGACAGATTAAACTAAAATTGAGTGCATCTGCTAAAAAAAAGTCTGCAATCTCAACCAGATTTGTTTTATCTTTTTTTTCTTATATATATTTTACGTAGTGATATATGAGTGTGTGAGTGTATATTATGAAGCAACTACAAAATCCACTAGCTTGTTTGTGTGTGTGTATGTGTGTGTGTGTGTGTGTGTATAGATAGATAGATAGATAGATAGATATAGATATATTCATGGACCAATGCATAAAGATGCATATGTTTCTTCAAGAGTAATAATGCTGCATGTGTTAGTGAGAAAGCACTCACCAGCAATGCTTAAGGAATACTCAAATCAGTCAAATATTTGACTTTAAAACGAGATAGAATATATAACAACATTTAAGGAATCATGGTAAAATGGGAGTAATGTGTTATACTATTTTTTTTTTTTTAATTGTGTTAGACTGTGAATGTTGAAGAAGAGAAACGATGGAAACTTGTACTATTAATTTCTATTTCTGATCTTGTTTGTTGTTTGTAAAGAAAACAAAGTCAGTATTTCTACGTCTCTTCATAATTACAATATAACTCATTTGTATAGACAAAAGTGACATAGACAACAACTATAATCTTACGGCTATGGCAAACATAAAGCAAAGAAAGTTGTAGCAAACAGTAAGGTGAAAGCTTGAGACCTATACCCTATACAGAAGTCTTCGATGAATTTAAAAAACTTATATCTAAACTACGTAAGAATTCTGTATTTACATTAATATTATAATTTACTGATATTTTCCGTTATTTATAACAGAAAGGTGTCAGCGAAAAATTAAAATTGTCTTGTGGGACCCTCCTCGTACCTTGCTAAATCTTCTGGTTGGAAGAGGTTTCTTTCTGCTTTGGGTTTAGCACCTATTCAGTGTTAAGTTCTTAACCATTTTTATTTGTTGCTTTTCAGCTCACTAAGCAATGGGTCTACTGGTTTAGTGTACTGCAGAGTATTTAATTGCTGCACCGCATATTCCGTCCTTATCCAAAGCCATGTGGGTTATGGAATCAAAGATTAGCTCATATAATAAGACATAAGAAATGTTAAGAAGATTCTCAAAATTAGAATTCTATCTGTCTTATTTTTTTGGCACGAGAATTGTGTCAATGTTATAAAATATTGAGTAAAAAAAATGAGATGACGGAGAGTCTATTCCATAGCATTTCTCACAAGTCATAATAGCTTTGCTTGTTAGATTTTGACAAAAATTGCTTACCATTCCACCATAAATTGATCTGGGATTTAAGGTGTCAATGCAAAATTCATCTTTTTAAATAGCGACTGTGTGTTGCACAAAGAATTTCTAAGTAGCGATCGTATTCGCAATCGATAATCAACGAGATAACTTTACTTCTTTAGATGGTCTTGGCCAGTAAGTAAAATTTATAACCAGCCTTCATAAATCTGAGGTATGAACGGATTTAAGGAGTTGTCAAATTTTCAAATAATTAGCACAAGAAATTGAAACATTCTATGCTTTTATCCGAGAACATATTCATGTTCCATAGTGCAGCACTGTTCTGCTGCCAGCAGTCATAAATCATTTTGACTGATCGCATCCACTGTTAACTTTTTCCAGACAATGTTATCACGTTACAAACCACTTTAATCTATGTAGTCGTAGAGTAGGGTTTGAGTTCGTGTCAAATGGGATGAATACATTGCCTTGACCAACTAATTTAAACTACAGCTTTAAGGTGTTGCTTTTCATCTTCAAAACTACTACAACAGTCAATTTACGAAGATAATTCAAAACTACATCGCGTTATCTTACTATGAAGACCACCGTTACGCTTACATTATCGGTATATTTTCAGGACAACCCTACAAAGATGACAATTCTGGATCTCCTAATGAAGGTATGAAGGGAATTTTCCATTTCCACACCAGCTAATAAAATAGAGACCTAAACAACAAATTACCTTCTATTTCACTATGTTACAGGGACGGCGAGCTTTCATCTCCCAATAAATCAGAATCAGGCATTCGAATCGGCAGAGGATTATCTCCCTTTCTAATCTTTCTCCCCTTCTATTTGAACAGTTATGTTAAGTCACGTCAACATCTTATATTGATTAATATTTTTATAGAGACAATAAGATAAAAAACAATATGTGAGAGGAGGGAAGAGAAAGGAATGAAAATAAGAAGGAAGAGAATCCTACTCCATTGGAATTACACAAGTCCCCATTAGTCGTTTCTCATCCTCGAGAGAACGATTATGGATTCCTTATGCACCCCACACTGGAACATCAGCTTGATGCTCTGGTCCAATGGCGGCAGACTTCCGAGGAGGGTGATCCAAAAGTACAGAACAAATATCCTCGGATTGAGTCAAGGTCCTTATGATGTCCCACTTGTCTTGGGTGCTTGAAAGAAACAAATATTTCCTCATCATCATCATGTGATCGTTTCTGTACCATATTAAACTGCAGGAACGAGACAAGAAACGTTCAGATAAAATGCAAATGAAATGCCTAAAAGAATTTTACACCTTCTTACACATCCAAAACATATCAAATACCATCACAATCACAAGTCCACGTTATATCAACTTGCTTCGACTCGCATAAACACAACTTTAATAGTTCAAAGCAACAACGTACGTAAATTAAACAATACTGAATGCAACAAACATACATAAATACCTCAAACGTGTAAATTTTCCTGCTAAGAATGGTTACTTCTGAAAGTCATTTGTTTCCCCAATCAATGACACTATAGTTCCCCATGTTAGTTAACGTCTTAATCACAACATTACATCATATAACTACAAGTCCATCAAATTTTTTTTTTTCCATAAGAAAATTACAATTATAATTGATATCGGGTGTTGTGGGGCCAATTATTTGAGCACCCTCCACATAAAAGGGACAGACATCACTAATAGTACAGGAGGGCAATTTGGTAAATATGACATGCCGCTTTATTTCTAATCAAAGGGTGCCCTTTTTAGCTAAAAATCAAGGTGCCTCTTTTAGTTAAAAACAGGTGCTCCTTTTAGCTAGAAACAAGGTGTCCATATCGCATCACATAATTTAGCAAGAAATGATTTTACTTGTCGGAATTGTTATTAACATTCTAAAAGTCTTATTCTATATTTTAAACTTTCTATATTTGTAAAGAAAAATACATTTGTGAGGAGTGTAAAATGAGATTTTTGAAATGTTAATAACACTTCTCTTACTTATTTATTATATTTATTTTTCATGCAAAAATTAATAATTTCATCATAAATTAACAAAAGAGCTCGGTTTATACCTCAGGAAAAAATCTTCGAGAAATAAAGCAAATCGCTGAATTGGAAGATAGGAGCTTTGATTGATATGCACCCAAAGGGAAAACTGAGCTTAATCGAATCAATCTAACTTTTCCTCAACCTAATTTCACAAAATCAAGAAAAGCCCCAAATTAAAAACCCTAACCCTAGATCTTGAATTCTTTATGAAATCCCCAAAATTGTATCCAGCTCTGTAGACAAATACAGTTGATGGGCTATAAAAAAAACCTCATAGAATTATAGATCTATGGATCGAAACCCAAAAATCAGAAAACCTAAACAACGAAAAGAATTCGACCAAATTTAAAAAAATTGGAAAAAATATTACAGCGGGAAGTGAAAAAACACTAATCCGATAAAAGTTTAGTCAGATCTACAAATGAAGAAGAAGATCAAACATTTCTTGAAACCCTAACCCTAGAATTAGATAGGGAACACGGATCAAGATAAAATTGGGATCGATTGACAAAGGAGAAAACGAATTGATCGAATCTGAGATCAATTTCTGGATCGAGACAAAAAATGGAGATGGAATCGGGCGGAAGAAATGGTCGAGGTCGATAAAAGGGGCGGCGATTGGAGAAAAGGGGGCTTTTTTGTAAGTGGCTTGTCCAAGAACGAAAATAACAAAAAAAGACACGTATGGGATCGTAATTACGGAGAAAACCGCTCGTAGTGTGGGAAGAGACTAGTGATTGACACATGGCGTGTTGTTAGAGGAAAGTGGCTTCTGAACAGCTGTGCTTGATATTTGTCTCTTGGCTTCGAGAAAACTTTTAGTATCAGAACACGGTCTGTTACATAAATGTCATGATACGAATGATTGATATGTTTTTTCTATGTATTCAACACTTATATTATAATATTTAGTATACCAAATCGTGTTTTTGGTACAATAAAAAATGTTTTATTCTCTTTTTCGGTTGCATATTGGGTGGATTTTATCGGTGGATAGGATGACAATTCAGACAATGACGAAATGGTAATGAATGTTTTGTCATTTTGTCTTTTAGAAACGAGGATTTTTGCCATTTAATTAGACGATTTAGTTTGGGATTTTGATTTGATTAATTGTGGATTTCTTGTTACCATTCTCTCAAATGTTTTCATATTGAATTGGGTTCAGAAATGAAAATACGTTTAAATAATAAGTTGACGAATGTGTAAACATAACTCATTAAATTTACATGAGAGAAAAATTTCGGTAAAGACAAGTGAAATCGTTGTTATTAATGATTTATTTTAGATACACATGTTAAGGTAGGTCTAGCAGCACACGATCTTCACTTTGTTTGAGAATGTCTAAAATTCAACTCACACCGATATTGAGATGATTACAGTGGATTTGATATCAAGCTTTCGGTCAACTTGGGCAAATTACAGGTGATGCTGAAATTTGGGAGCTTTATTTTGGTCTACAGCTTGCAGTAGACAAAAGTATTTTAAGCCTTTGTGTAGAGATGGAAGCGGTTATAGTGGTTAATTTAATTAACAGTGTAACTAATACCAACTTTTATTCTCTTGCTAACATTATTGATCAGTGCAAAAAATTATGGTCGGCATAGCAGATTGAGAGTTGGTTCACGTCAACCAGGAGAAGAACTTTGTGGTGGACGACCTTGCTAATTGGAGTTATAATATGAATCTTAAGTACCATTATTTTGATAATCCACTTGAATAGATTGGAATTCATTTATTTGATGGTATGATCGGAGTCTCTAGGACTCAAAAATGTTACGTCAAATAAATGATAAATCCGTAATGTAGAATAACATTATATTAAGAAAAGAAAAGAAAAATAGATTGGATTCAATGTTCTCATTATATTCACTTTCCCCATGTTGTATCAACAGATGAAACATTTTACAGTTCAAATGTGTACATGTAATCAAACCCTTTCATATACAAGTTTTCCAAAGTCTGGCAAGTACTAAAGAAAACAGCATCAAAGTGTACAATCCAACAGAATCGAGTTTAGATACGTTTTATTTTGTATCTGACAAGACTGATCACAAAAAACAAGGGCGTCCCAACGATGGCCATCCGAAGCTACAAGAACGCTCGTACGAATTTGCAGCAGCGAAGAAACCCCCCCTCATTTGCATTGGAATGGCTTTGGCTCTCGTTAGAATCTGTCATCTGATCCGTTACAAAAACAAGTTAAATGCAAGTCGTTATAAGCAAGAAGAAATATGTCGAATGGACATGCTATTATAAGCGAAAAACTACACGAAAAGAGGTCTTGAAGTTGGGGAATTCGAAGACTAACAGACATGCAAATCTCATTTCTTAGCACGTAACTATCAATTTGTTTTAAGATAGCACCAGATACTTAGCTTTTCCAGTCAATTAGTCATACTGATAACTAGCACATGAACAACACGATGAGGACAGTAAAAGCTTAATGTGTATGGGGGAACGGTGAACAATTTAGCTTGAATAAGCTTATTTTGTTTGAAAAATATCAGCATAGTAGGCAAAACCAGAGGAGCAGTAATGAGAGGGCCACAACCAAGAATCAGAACTCGTCCAACAACTCCTATCTTTGTGCTAGTACAGATACTAGAACTCCAATGATATTTTGGTGCAGAACTTACTGTTTCAGGAATGTCAATGCCATACTCTCAAAGATCGATACCCTCATCAAGGCCTTTGGAACTGATCATCACATTTGAGTGAATTTGTTTGTCAAACTTCTTCTTCCTTCTCGCTTCAAACTCTTGAAATCCTTCCATCTAGATTTTTATCACAGGGTAAATGTTCAAATATATTGCGGGAAAAAAGGGATAGAAGTAAAACACTACATAGGAAAATGTGGCATACCTGCTGAAACTGATCCATGGAAATAGGGTTTCCATGGAGGGAAATATTCTGCAGCGCTTTACAGTCTTTCAACAGATTAGTGGGTATCTGTCAAACAAGGAGTACATCAATTTGCCATTCTTTATGTGGTTAAGTAAGTAAAACGAAACTTGTGAGTGGTAAAAACTATACCTTTTTCACATTATTATTGTCCAAGCAAAACGACTTTACGTGGATAAGGTTGCAGACTGACTCAGGAAGTTCGTCTATTGAATTATCTGAAACGCAACGCAGAATCATGAAGCTGTCAGTGGTAAATCAAAGAATTACGACCATAGAACCACATAGAGAAGGAAACAATCAACCTATTTAGATTGAACAAAAAAAAAACACATACAACCGACATCAATTAGCTGACTAACGCAACAATTTAAACATACCATCAGCTTGTAATTCTTCCAGAGAGAAGCAACTTCCGATGGATTCCGGAAGAGACTTTAACTTGTTCTTCGATACATTTAAAAGCTTTAACTGCATCAAATAATCCATTATTAGATCCTGGATTTTCACAAGGAATGCTAAATATTTGATATTCAAAAAATGTAAAAGTGAAATTCAGATACTCATTAATGCATTTTCCAATGTTTTGGCAAATTTAACTCGGACATAAAATTCCTAAAGCAGGAACAGCAAAACAGAAAAGCAGGTGGAAAATGCCAATGCACTTACATTCCGCAAGCTTCCAATAGTCGCAGGCAAAGACTCTAATGAATTTCCGGAGATGGATAACTGCTCAAGTCTGACCAACTGTCCCACTAGAAATCGGAAACATAGATCTTGTTAGTTAGACATCCCATGAGACATCTCATGATTAAGTCTTTGAAAGAAACAATGGTCCCATGCAGTTGAACAAACAATGGTCCCATACATTATCTTACTTAGAGAAGAGAATTACATTCATCAGGCAAGGACGTAACTCGATTTCCATCAAATGTCATAACTTTTAGGGACTCTAGTTTTGCCAAATTTATCGGTAGTCGGTCAATGAGGTTATGAGCTAATATCTGAAAAAATAGAGCAATCAAATTCAACTGTCAACTGATCATCCAAACGTATGAAAGAATAATTGTACACTTATATCAACAAATTGCCTTATGTAGAGATTACTTAATTCATGTGAACTATTTTAGCTGTTTGTTTATGAAAATAAAATAGGATGATTTGGAAAGAGACTCTAAGAAAAAACTTGGATCTAACGGAAGACATAGCACAAAATCAAGCGCAGTGGAGTTCTAGGATTCATATAGCCGACCCCACTTAGTGGGATAAGGCTTTCTTCTTCTTGTTGTTTATAAAAATAAAACAAAAACTTTTGAATCGAATACTATTTCTTGTTCATATATTTTGAACCGAATACTCTTATGCAATTCATTATCAGATTTAGAAAGAACTGAATCCCATCCAACAGTCCACTCATGATTACAACCTTCAATAAGAGGACCACCATTTTCATTACAAAAATTGTGCCACTATTTATTTATCGTTTTTTGTTCAACAGAGCTGGCGAATGTCAAAGTCTTAAAAACGTTGTGTATGACAAATTGCTTGTAGATCATAAATTTAGAAATGAGAAAAATAGTACATGTACAAGAAACAAATACATAATCTTACCAGTTTCTGCAGGTTTACTAATTTGCTGATATCCATAGGAATTTCAACTGCATGCAGAAATACAGAAGTAAACTACTAGATGTTTATGCTTAAGTTCTAAAAATATCGAAACCTTGAACACCAAGCCATGAAAAAACCTTTATCTTTACGTTAACCCATTGAATCTTTTTGTTAAAGAAGGTTAAGTGGAAATCAGATGCCTTCCAAAAATTAAACTGCATTGTTAAATTGTGAATAATATGCCTCACAGAGAACAGAACATTACCTATTTTATTGTTTGTTAGATCAATAGTACGTATGGACCTGTCCAGGTCGAGAACTTCAGCAGGAAATGTCTGTTCCAGAGAAAGCAACCAATCAATACATAGCATCGAACACACACACACATGAAATGAGGCAAAGCACCAGCTTTGTAGTGCTTTGCGTTTATCTAAAAGGCATAGATGGAACCCGAAGCTAGGTGTCTATGCACGATACAGAATGTATCACAATGTCAAATAACTGTTTCACTCGCAAAACCAAAGAACTAGAGAGAAACCGTGTCAGATGCTTGAACCGAATACACCAACAACAAAAACTGAAAACATCTCCATATAAACTCAAAGCTCTCTTTCGACTTCAATTAAAATTTGAACCAGAACACATCCAAAACATCTCAATCAACAGCACCCTTAAAAAAAAAGATTTGAACTTTATCACGATTCTCGTATTTAATTTGTAATCACAAGACACAGGGAAAATGTAAATTATGAGCAGCTACCAAATGAAACAATCAAAACTAATCAATTTATTCCACCCACCTCCCCAATATCTCACACCCAATTATTCAACTCCACAACAATCATCCAAAAAATAACCAAATTTTCAATCAACCACCCTAATAAATACAACCAATACACACACGAAGATATATACATACACACACATATATAAGCTTTGGGAGACAGAGATTGAGAGAGAAATTGCCTTCAATTTGGAGTCGCGGAGGCCAACAATGCCGGTGGATCGCCACCGAGCGGTCCGGCTCGCTTTCGAATCCGCGTTTTTGCTGGTAGCGCAACCCATCTCGTGGCCACCAAATTGATTTCACAAAATTTCCCCAAACAAAAAGCAACAAAATTCGAAAAAAAATTTATTTATTTATTTCTTTATATATACGTATGTATATAAATTCTCTGAATTTTCCTCTCTGCGCGGAGAATTTCGTCTCCGAAATTCAGAGGGAGTGAGAGAAATGAGATTTGTGCAGAGGTTTAGTCGGGGGTCAAGCTCGAAGCTATGGAGACCAAGAAGACGAAGCAGTCCAGTCGTCGTTTTCAACGACTGGTTTTGCAATTTTTCTGGGTCCCGAAAACCGCGTCTTTTTCCTACGTGGCTTACGCTGATTGGGGGTTCGATTGGTTAGTGCGGTTTTTACTGCAGGGGATCATGACTTTTGCTCCTTGGAATGTTTGGCGCTTTTGGGGCGGACTTCGCGCGAGTTTTTTGAACCGACGTTGGATCGGACTTTTTAGATCAAACGAATTTGGAGTTCTGGGCTTTGGATATCGGATTGGGCTTAGAGTTTTAAAAAATTTAGGATTTTTATAACAAATACTTTTTAAAATTGACTCATCCCATTCAGAAGATATTTGAAATTACAAATTCATTAATGTAGTTATTGAAAATAAGCGTTACAAATCAAAGTGGTATTTTCGTCACAATTTCGTTAAAAATTTTGTTATGTAATACATAATTAGGTTCCACAAATCTAATTAAATATTATCTGTGAATTAAAAATATTTAAATAAAAATAATAATTTTATTTTTGAATAATTAAAAACTAAAAAAAAAATCAATTAAAAAAAAAGGTGATGGTCTTGGAACACTTCCACTTCCAGACGGGATAAACAGCAGGCGGCCCGATTCCAATTCCCATTGAAAGGCTATCCATGATATTTGCTCTTTTATAACATTTTTTTTGAGAAAACTAATGAAAAATGTTTGAAAATTTTGAATTTTAATAATAAGAATAAAATAAAAGGTAAAGTGAATAGTACCATAATTGACTTTTTAGTGTAAAAATATAGTTTTTCGTTAAAGTAAAAAGTACCGTAGATTTTTCGTTAAAACTCACATTCTCTTCACTAAAACTTACAAACTCTTCATCCTCTATCGCCTTGTGAGGAATTGGAATAAGGCGGAATCAAATCGGATTTATGTTGAAATTGTTTATTAAGGATGATGTATTCAATTGAGAATTTGAGAAACTTTAATAGATTTATAAATTCATAGATTTTTATGGAGTTTAATTGATTTGTAGAGATTACATATAAAATTTTGATTCAATTCCCTCAAAATCTCATGGGAAGAGGTAAGATTTATGGATACTTAAAATACACTACAAAATTTCTTAAATTTCCTCTAATTCCTCAACTTTATTAAATTCTTTAAAATCAATTTCTAATTAAATACACTTGAAATGTTATAAACTTTTTAAAATCCTAATTGAATACATTCAGATTTCTAAGAATTTTAATAAACTATCTTAAAATTCTAATTAAATACATTTTAAATTTCAGATAATCAATTAAAATTCTAATTGAATATCCTTACCTTTGTTAAAAAATTAAAATCCCTCAAAATTCCCTGATTCTATGAACGCCTTCGTTTAAAAACAACGAGATTAACGCAGGCCCTCCCGTCCTCTCCCCGCGCTCTAAAAATCCCCATCTTCTTCCCTTCTGAATCTTCTTCTTCTCTTCTGATTACTCCTTCGTCTTCTGATTCCCCTTTGATTCTTTTCTTCTTCCAAATAACTAATTAATTCCAAATATTTATTTATTTATTATATTGGTCCTCTGTCTCTGTCTCTCTCTTACGCCCGCTTCTTCACTGGGTTTTGATTTGAAACCTGAAGGTGCTGGGTGCTGTGCTACCGGAGACGACACCATTGAAAGGGCTGGGAGGGGAAGGAGATAAGGTTATATTGGGTACAAAAAACTGATTCCGGCTTCAGAAATTATTTGTTGCCCTAAGGTAAGTTCTCTCGATTGATTCAAAATCCCTAACAAAAAACACTACTTAGGATTCCAGTGTGATCCTTTTTGTTTCAATTTGCGATAATTCCATTGAAATTTAGTTGCTTTTTAGCTTAGGCAGCTTGAATTAGTGTTAAATTGAATTGGCACCAAATTTCCATGCTCTATTTTTCTATTTTTTCCGAATTTAATGTTTTGCCGTTGTGTTGTTCAATGCAGTAAAAATGGGGAGCGAGAGCACTCTGAAGACGTGGGTATCCGATAAGCTAATGACGTTGCTCGGATACTCTAATGCCACTGTTGTTCAGTACATTATCGGAATAAGTTAGTTGTTCTTCGTCCTTGCCACTTTACCAGTTATTTGCTTTCGATTTTGTGAACTTCAAACGGATGATAGCAGCATTGTATGCAATTTGATTTGACTAATGGAAAATTGACATTTCTTGCAGCTAAACAAGCAAAATCACCGGCTGGTGTTGTAGGCAAGCTTGTAGAATATGGGTTTTCTTCGTCAGCTGAAACAAGTGCATTTGCTGAAGACATTTTTTCTAGAGTGCCTCGTAAAGAATCTGGTTTGAACGTGAGTTCTTATTCTAAATCAAATGAATGTATAGACTCAGGATTTTCGACCCCAGTTTTATCCATCTATGAAATCATGCCTTTCCTGATTGTTACTATTGTTTGTTATGTAAATCAGCAATATCAGAAACAAGAGAGGGAAGCTGCAATGTTGGTCAGGAAGCAGCAGACATATGCTCTTTTGGATGCAGATGATGACGACGACGATGATGGAGGTAGATCATCTGTCCCTGTTGTTTCAGAGTCAAGGAAACCAGATTCCCATAAGAAGCGGTTTAGGAAGAAGGGTTTGAGTCAAGAAGATGAAGACGATGAGGTTCCTTTAAACTTTTGTAATATAATATTCTGTTTTTGTTTGTCAGGGTAATTGTTGTTTTAACTTAGTGCAATGCTGCAGGGGATTGCACAAGAGGAAGAAAAGAGAAGGGTAAAAAGACGAACTTCGCCAGATGAAGATGATGGTTCAGAGGTTTTCTTCATATATATATATATTTTTTTTTAAATTTATGCATAGGTTCAGTTTCTCATAATTTGTCGCTGTTTTAATTGAAAAACAAAGTTAAGTAATAATGCATGAAGGAAGCAGAGATAAATTTGATTGAATTGATATAGTTCTTCAATACTTGTCCAGACTCACTTTGTAGTGTGGATGATTATTTTGACATCTTTTTACCCAATGGTATTATCTGCATCGTTCACAATGGGCACTATAGTTACAATTTTTTATTGCTCTCTCTCTCTCTCTCTCTCTCTCTCTCTCTCTCATAATAAAGCTCAGTACATTGAGTAGCAATTTTATATTCATTTTCCAGTTATAGATTTTTCCTTGTTCTTCTCTACCAGTTTTTAACATGTCCTCTATTTATAATGGCATGCAGTCAGAAGAAGAAAGATTGCGTGATCAAAGAGAGAGGGAGCAATTGGAGCGGAATATAAGGGAGCGGGACACAACAGCAACACGAAAGGTACAAATTTAGTTTTGAGCTGATTTTCATTTTCTACTTTTTCTTTGGTATCAAATCAGCTTGGATTGTCATCTTGCTTCGAGCTACTTCTGACGCTGCTTGTTTCCTTTCTCGTCACTAACATCTTTTTTTTGGCCCTTCCAACAGTTAACAGAGAGAAAGTTGTCAAAAAAGGAAGAAGGTACGACAACTTGAGGATATAATTACATCGACACATATTTGTCAAGAATTGCATATTCTGTGCTTGCGATTATACATCTAGATGCATATTCAGGATTTAAGTTCTCATTATGATGCATTGTACTATTGAACAGATGAGGCTATTCGGAGAACAAATGCTTTTGAGAAAAATGAAATTGAAGATTTAAGGTATGTCATTATCTATATATCATGAATTTACTAACTCTGAAGTCCTGCTTATTTATTTGGGTTCGTTCTTACAGGTAAAGTTCTATTCTTTTGGTAGGCAAAAGTAAACTTAAAATACCTGTTTTTTAAATAGTTAAAATATGCTTATTCATTTTTATTCTACCCATTCAGCAGTTAGCATTTTGATTAAAACTTTTGGGCAAGAGAACATATTTGCCTTTCTTTCTTATTTCGTTAAAGCCTTTAAGTTTTTGCACTATAATATCCACTATCATGTATGTGTTGTACTGTCTGTTCAAGTTATGTTAGGATTCCAAACTGTGTTTTCTAGTTGCAAAAGAACTTGGTGTTTCATTTTAACCTTAGGAAAGAGGGTCTTCACTCTTTTTTGTTTGACTGGTTGTGTGCACTTTCATTTGCTTTCTAGATTTTGCCCTACCCAATTTTTGAGTTGACGCTTTGGTATCGTTGTGTAAGTGACTCCTGTTGAAACCTCTGTGATTTACGCATAGAAAATGTGTCCCTGTCTCCGAATTGTTTTGTACACCGATAGTCTGGTTAGATGGCTTGTATGCTGGAGCTATTTAGGTTCACCCTAGAAAGCAAAGTACTAATAAAAAATATATAAACGTGTGTGTGTTTTCTGTATGACACCAAACAGGGTTCTTAGTTTATGTATTGATAAGCAGCTGGTCTGATATTTTTTATTCTCTGCTTCAGAAAAGTTTCAAGACAAGAATATCTAAAGAAAAGGGAGCAAAAGAAGTTGGAGGAAATCAGGTTTGAAGAGAAATACCTTTTGCCTTCTTCTAAAGTTAGCTCACACCACTCCCTTCCCCTCCTCCCACAATCAATGTTAATTATTGTTTTGAAATGTATCTCAGAGACGATTTAGAGGATGAGCAATACTTATTTGATGGCGTGAAACTCACTGAAGCAGAATATCGTGAATTAAGGTAATGAAAAAGCAGCTGCTGATTTTTTTTGTTCTGCTCAGTCTCGGGTTATTGCCTAGCATTTAGTAACTTCAATGAACCAACTATAAATAAAAAAAAATGGTCAGTTATTTTATCAGCAGCCATTTCTATATCCAGAGTCTAATTTTGTCTATTCATCAATTTTGTGCTGTACAGTTACAAGAAACAAATATACGAAATTGTGAAGAAGAGGTCAGATGAGCCTGAGGATGCGAATGAGGTAATTAGGGGTTTTTGATAGCTAACCACGGTTGGCTAGGTTACCTACATGAGCTGTTTCGAGAAGATTTTTCTACTGAGAATTTTTCCTTCCTGTTCACTTTGGAGTGATCAAGTGATTGAAATGCTTCGGCATATCATTATTTTATTATATTGTGGGTTTACTTAAT